ATCCAATTGCTCTTTTTTTGTTAATCTAAAAATTAAAAAAATTTAAATACTTTTTGAATAAGAATTTGTTATTTGATTTTAAAGAGATCAACGAGAATTAATTATTTAGGTTTAGTAACTAGAAAAATGTGAGACAAGATTATGAAAAATTAAAATGAGGACATTTTAATTTTTATTTATTTTAGACAAAATATTTTTAAATTCATTAAATTCAGAAAAAATCCCTGACAGTATTCCCGTTCAATTTTAAAAATTTACAAATAAATTTACAAAAAAAATTATCAAAAAAAAACCCCAAACCTTTCTCGAGCAAAAAGAGTTTCATCATCCCTAACTTGTGCCTCCAATTCCATTCTTTTATCTTCTTTTCTTTTATTTAAATAACTTTTTCTACTTTCATAACGTAATTTATTCAACATTTCTTCTTTATCTTCTTTGCTTTCATTTTCTAATTTTAATCTTTTTTGTGCTTCAGCAAAACTTCTAGCCTCAGATTTTGACATTATATGACGAGTATTTTTACTTTCCTTTTCTTTTATTCGTTTTGAAAGAGCATCCCTTTCCTCTATATCTTTTTGAGTTTCTTCTTCTAATTTGTCGAAATCTGATTCTTCTGAAGAATTTTTATCGTCTTCTTTTATATCTTTCTTGGCAGGAGGAGAAGTCTAGAAAAATAAAATTTTAATTAGGATTTTTAAAAAGTTACTAGGTAAATTTTAAGGAGTTTGAAAGTCATAAAAAGAAAAAAGAAATAGATACGCTTGACATTATAAATTTGTCAAACTTTCCAAAAACTATCAAAAAGTCATTCCAAATTTACTAAAATATTCCCCAACTAAAATACACATCAAAAACCAAAAAATTCATTTTCCAACTAAAAACATTTTAAATTAAAACAAACCTTTTGTTGTTCCCCAATATCTTCTTCTTCTTCCTCACTATTACTCTCCCAACGTTTTCGTGTACTTCTTCCTTTCTTTCTTGATTCAATTTTCTTTCCAATATCAAAACTTGTAGAAGGTTCATAATCATCTTCGTCATCCAAAGGTTTAAGTGTTGCATTTAATCTTTTTATATTTAAATTTTCCAATTCTAATTGTGATAATCCTTTTTGTTTTGGTAATGATTTTTTGACTAAAAAATTAAAAAAATTAGAAAAAGCAACAGAAAAATTTTAAATAAAAGCAAAAAGCCTCAAATCTTTACTAATTTTTAAATTAACTTTTTACCCCAAATGATCAATAAAATTCGAAAGTTAATTAAGTTCCGATATCAAAAGTAGAAGAGAAGCAAAGTCCTTATACAAAAATCCCTGCCTTCATCTCTCAATTAAAAAAAAAGAATTACCAGTCCGCGGCACTTTATCTAACAATTTCGAGGCAAATATTTTAACATCATTAGTAATTTCATCAAAAGATCCCCTCAATCTTTCTATAAAATCTTCATTATCTGTCGATTTCTTAGCTTGTGCAATAATAAAAGCAACAGTGGCTGAGTCACTATATCCAAGAATTTTGTGTAATTCATCATCAACCCAATTATTTATCATTTTAAAAAATCTAAAAATTTGAAAAGTTTGAAGTAAAAATTAATAAAAAAAAAGAAAATAACTGGTCAAACAAAAACGAGACCGAGTAGGCGCAGACCGAGTAGGCGCGGTCCAAGTAGGCGCGACCGAGTAGGCGCAAGAGTAAATTTAATAACTTTTCCCCAAAAGTTATGTATTTTCTTCATTTTTGAATAATTAAGCAACTTTATTTGAAGACTTTCTCCAAAACTGCCCTCTTTAGGGCAAAAAATTTATTAAGTGAAGCTCGGTGATGTTTTTATTTTTTGATAAAATTTAAAAAAAATTTTCGGCTGTAGTGTAGTGTACCGGTGGTAAAAGTTCGGGATGTGACATATGTCATTCGATTCGTCTCGACGAGCTGAGTCGAACGGTACCACTCCCTACTTTAGGAAATGATTCTGGACCGAGTTATAGGTCCCTGAAAATCGAAAAACCAAAGGGGGGAGTAAGCTCGATTTTGGGGTGAAAAATTCGAATATGCAAATAATAGCTCATTCGAAAGAGCTCGCCGAGCTGAGTCGAATGACACCAAAATCAACAAAATCTGACTTGATTTGACAAAGTTATGACCGTTTGTTTTAGCTCCTTACCTATCGCCTCTGTAGAGGTTTTTGCTGCTACCGGGCCCCAAGTACATCCAGAGCAAGGGAGATAGGAATAGGGTTATGTTACGAGCCCAGACCCAGCGCCCGTAGACTCCCCGCGAGGCGCGTGCCGCAAAACTCCGCGCGAAGCGCGGAGTTTTGCACAAGCGCCTCGCCGACGCCCCATAGGTTTATGTTGTTTGTTTTTCTATTGTAACTTTGTCCAAACTTTTACAATCAAGCTGATTTTGGTGTCATTCGACTCAGCTCGGCGAGCTCTTTCGAATGAGCTATTATTTGCATATTCGAATTTTTCACCCCAAAATCGAGCTTACTCCCCCCTTTGGTTTTTCGATTTTCAGGGACCTATAACTCGGCCCAGAATTATTTCCTAAAGTTGAGAGTGGTACCGTTCGACTCAGCTCGTCGAGACGAATCGAATGACATATGTCACGTCCCGAACTTTTACCACCGGTACACTACACTATATCCAAATTTTCTTTTAATATTTTTCTCATAAAAGCTCCATACTTACATAGCTGTTGATAAGTTTTGGAGGAAGTTTTTTTGTTTCATTATTGAAATTTATAACGATTTCTAATAAATATTTTTAAAATAAGTATAGAAAAATAGGGGAGGGTGCAATTATTAGAGAGGGTAGTTATTTGAGAGAGGGTAATTATTGTTTCGATCTCACGCTGGAGGGAGTAATTAATTAATTAATTAATTAATTAACCTCTGTATATCCCCTAAGAAAATATTTCTTCACTGGGGACACTATTATTAGCTGGTGTTGTTAAGTTTTTTGAACTATTTAACAAACAGAAAATTTGGACATTTTACAGTTTATTTTAAAATCTAAACTTTGTAATTAAGAAAAAGAAATAAAATTATTCTTTTTTATTTATTTTAACACAAAATCTTTTAATATCAATTTACATATATTTTAAATATTTAAAATTATGTATATATTTTTGTTTTATCCACTAAAAGCAAAAGCATTCAAGTCCCATTCTTGAGGAGAACGTTTAGATTTTCCTCCCCCTTTTCCTCCTCCCTCTTCTTTCTGAAAAAATTTAGAAAAATTACATATAATTATTTTAAATAAAAATTACCAAAGAATTTTTAGCTAAATCAGAAGAATTTTTGGGGGGAGGTTTTTCAAATTGATATGTTGCCCCTTCTCCATTTATTTTAACAATAAAAAGAAAAGAAATAAAAAATGTTAACAAAATAATTATTTTTTTATTAAACATTTCTTTTTAAATTAATTTAAAATTATTTTCAAAATATTTTTTAAAAAATAATTCTAATTCCTTTTTTGATTTAATTTATATATTCTTTTTTATTTTAATCTTTAATTCCTTACAGAAAATATTTTTTTATTAAAACAAACTTGGAATATTTTAAAATAAATAGAAAAACGTCTTTTGAATATTTTTAATAAAATTTTAAATTAAAAACAGTCAAAAATATACTCAAAAAATGTTAAAAAAACATTGAGAATATTAGGTATATTAGAAAAATATTTATTAAAAATTTTCAGTCAAAAAATGTACAATAATAATTACATTTTACTATTTTACATTATTTATTTATATTTGTGTATTTCTTATTGACAACTACCATTAAGGAGTACATATCAGGGGTGTCGCTCGTGCCACAAAATACGAGACGAGCGGCACCCCTGGTACATGTCATAGAAATATAAAACTTTGAAGTCTGGATCGGAAAATTTAAACTATTTTTTTTGGTTTGAAAATTTAAGCCAAAAATCTTCTTATTTAGCGCTACACGGCGCTAATCTTTTGATTTTTTAGTGGCCAACAAGTTAAAAATTACTTTTTTAGATTTAATTTATGGATCTGAGCTGCTGAAAGATTTTGTAACAATAAATAATTAAATTTATGTTGCTAAATTTAAAAATATAATAAAAATTATTTAAAAAATAAATTTAAAATTTCTTTCTGTCGAAAAACCAGGCTTGGTTGTTTCAACACGGATAAGGGAAGGATTGGGGAAAATTTGGTGAGGTAACAGTGGAGGGGACGGGAAGATGTTTTTGGGCGATTCTAAACAATCCTTTAGCACCACTAACGGAAATTGTTTTTCGTTAAATTTTTGAACTTTTTATGTAAAAAGCAGCAAATCTGAACATTTTATATTTACTTTATTCTTTGCAATTTATTATTAAATTCTAAAAAATGTTTTGTAAATAAGAAAAAAAGAAATTATTTTTTATTTAGTTATTTTATACAAAATCTTTTAAATATCAATTTAAAATATTTAATAATTTTATTTATTAATTTATCGTCCAAAAGGCAGTATGAAAAATTCCCATTCACTAGTATCTTGAGGAGAACGTTTAGTTCTTTTTAACTTTCCTCCCTCTTCTTTCTAAAAATAAAATTAAAAATTTATTATTTTTTAAAAATAAATTACCAAAGAATTTTTAGCCAAATCAGAAGAATTTTTGGTGGGAGGTTTTTCAAATTGATATGTTGCCCCTTCTCCATTTATTTTAACAATGAAAAGAAAAGAAATTAAAAATGTTAACAAAATAATTTTTAACATTTTTAAAAACAAATTATTTAAAATTATTATTTGAAAAGAATATTTTTTGAAAATAATTCTGATTTAATTTAGTTAATATTCTTTTTTATTTCAATCTTCAATTCCCTATTTTTTATTAAAACAAACTTGGAATATTTAAAGATAAATAGGGAAAACGCCTTTCGAATATTTTTAATGTTTTTAAAAAAATATTGAGGGATTTTCTTTAAAAAAAAGTCAAAAAAAAGAAAACTAATATTTACTAAAACCCCCCCCCCCACTACATATACATATGTACATATTTATTTATTTACAATCAAATAAACAACAACAATAATTACTTATCTCTACAATTTACATTATTTATATCTTTATTACATCTCAATTCAATTATATATTTATTTTGTCATAGATTTTGTTTTACTCGCATCAACGCTTACATAAAGAATATTCTTCTTTTCAAGCACTTCCACAACTAAAAAAATTGAAAAAAAATTATTAAAAATATTTTCGTTATAATTAACAAGCTCCCCCAAATTTATTTTTAAAATCTTTTTTCAATTTTCACCTTTTCCAGTCCCCGGCTTCCTAATTTTATTTTTCTGTGATGTTCGATCGTAAGCATGTTTCGGTCCCAATCCTTGCACAAACTCGCTAGAGGGTTTTTGCGCAATTTCGTCGTCAATATTTCCAACAAATTTATATTTTGGGCCAGCAACAGCAATTTCCTTTCGAATGATGGCAGTAGCTGAAGGCGCTGCCTTGACTGAAGCTCTCGATTTGTCTACACGGTGGGCAGTTGAAACGCTAAAAAAGGGAAGGATTTGTGATTCTTTTAAGTTTTTCAAACCCTCTAAATGTAGCAAATGGCTGTGCTGTCTTAGTCCCCTTCCCCCCTCCAAGTGTCGATCCCTTTCCAGACTTCATATGCGCAGTTCTTAACGCTTCATTGCTTCCACCCACCTTTTGTGCTTGTTTTGTATCCTTATCAGATTTTGGCTGGTCTCGTCCTTTTCCCTTCTTTTCGTCCTAAAAAATTAACAAAAATATTTGTAGTTAATTACTCAATTTACTTTTTTATTTAAATTTCCAAGTTGTGAATTCTTTTCACTCTTTGGCGGTATTGCTTCTTTTGATTTAACCTTCTTCCCTTTTAGATTCTCAATTGCCGCATCTTTCCCTTTCTTCTTTTTGCCCTTAGAGCATGTTATTAAAAGAATTGATGTCATCATAGAAAGAAGAAAAACCAATTGAAGAAATGCCAAAAGAAAAGAATTTATATGGTTGTTGTTGGTGTTGATGTTGTTATGTTGATGAACTGTTTAAAAGAATATTTTTTTCTAAAAATAAAATCAAGCATGTTTTTACCTTGAAAGAGACGAAAGACCACCATTCCGATTAGGAAATAGAAAGAAGACGAGAATGAATTGACGTTGAATAAAGTTGGGGAAATTTAGATTTTTCTTTATTCTTTTACTCCAGGCTTTTATAGTACCTACATATCCCTTTCGAGATATTTGTTAATTTTTAAGGTGTTTCCACTTGTCTCATATTCCTTTAGATGTCTCATTTTCCTTTTTTGAGCCATATTTAAATTCGTGGAAAGAAAATGAAGAGAATAATTTTAGTGAGCCGAGGAAAATTAATAAAAGAAATTGTTGAAATTAAAATAAACAATGAGAGAGCAACTATCCAAATGTTTGTTTCCGATAGAAAATTACTGTATAAATATAGTGTTTAAGAAAATATACCCCACCCCCTTGAATTTTTTGAGTTTATCTATGTTCCCGTCAACGGATTGTTCTGAATTTTTTATTGGTGATTAATAATCACTATTGAACACTATATCCAAAAGATCTTTAAAAAATGTTGGCTCGATCGATTTGTAATTGGTTCTTCTCAAAAATTGGTATTAATGTAAGAAATTATAAGCCCCTTTATTAAAATTTTGATTTTAATATTTCTCACTAAAAATACATATTCGGAGGTTATTGAGTCATTTAAAAACATTTTGTTTAATTTTGAATGAGTTATCACAGATGATAAATTAAATATATAGCAAAACAATATTTATTTTTCTTAAATTCATGACACATTAAGTGAATCAGAAGGTTTTTAATATATTTAAAGTACAACAGATGTATTTATATAAAACCTAGCTTTTTATGTTTTTATTTTAAATTAACAAATAAAAATTTATAAAAAAATATTTTAAATAAATATGTTCTTAATTAAATTCTTTCTATTGCTAATTTTAATTAAGGAGATAGTAACTTTTGCTATAATTCCTCATAATGAAGGTAAACATATTTTTAATATTTACTGGAAAAATGTCATTGATCCTTTTAATAATTTTAGCTTTCTAAATATAAAAGTTTTTTAAATCAAATAAAAGATTTATTAAACAATATTAAGTATTTAAATTCCATTCAAAACTAGGATAGACAAATAAATATACTAACTAGGTATATCTGGATAGAAAGGATAAATATTCAGTCAATTATTCTGCCTTCAGGGTTATTATATCATTGCAGTTTAATTTTTAATATTTTCATTCACTAATTTCAATTATATTTAGTCACATCTACTGGATATCCAGAAGCAAAATCCGAAGTTAGTATTAAACGTCTTCGTCGCCTTACAAATGATTCCGATAATAATTTAATATTTCCTGACCCAGAATTGCCTAAATTACCAAAAGATTTAGAAAATACAAATCCTGATTGTCTTTTGTGGCAATATATTCAAGCAAAACCTTTGACATTAGAAAGTTCTCGTGAGGAAATTAAAGGGGTAATTTGTATTTCTTTCCTCAAAATTAAATTAATTTTTAGTTTTGTGTAGTAAATAATTCAACAGAAAACAACAACAATAATGGTTGGTGTGAAATTGAATTAAATTTAATTATTAAACAATTTGGACATAAAACTATAAAATCTTTTCACCTTGAAAATGAAATAATTGAACATTTTGATTTTAAATTTTATATTCAATTTACAAAAAGAGGACTTTGGCAAGTTGTTGGAATTCCCAACTGCGAGAATGGTAAATTAAAGATGGATAAATACGGATTGGGGGTTTAATGAATATATTAATAATTTTGGCCCTGTTCTTTCTTGAATAGAAAAATTAAAAATCATTGAATATACACACAACTTTGAGAATAAATTAAAAATTGAACATAAGGGAGATTTTACCTAAAATTTATAAAATTTATTATTGTTCACTGATATTTCTTTAAATATGTATAAAGAGAATATTTTTTATTTTAATTTAGATGAAGAAGAAAAGAAACGCGTTGTCCGTTCAATATTATTCAAATATTAAATCATCAAGTGTCGAAGAGATAAAAAAGTTCTTTAATTCTATCTTATTTAAATGTATTTTAATTTGATTACATGATAAAAACATTTAATTCAAACAAATTTATATGCACGTAAACAAGGTTTACGTTTAAGATGTAAAGGTAAAAGTTGGCGTATATTTCCTTGTTTTTCCAATATTGCCCTCTATTTGTCTTTGAGATTGAATAAATAGAAAATATTTTATGGATGTTTTTAAGGAAAATTATAAGTTGTCAACAATGTTTGGCGAGTTTTGCTTTATTAGGCGTGCTAAAACGCAACTATTTTACACTCTTAAAGGTTGCTTTTTATGAACAAATTTTGCTGTTTTTGTTGAAAGTTAAACCAGAAACTTGAAAAATTTCATCAAGTTAAATTGTTTCATCTGTTCGAACAGACATTAACAAAAGTTCTTTAGTTTTTAACTAGCGATATAAAATAATAAAGGGAAAATAAAAACTATTTTTTTTATCAATCTTCGGTAATTTATTTTAAAAAATTGTATAAACTTTTAAATTTTAATTTTCAAAAAGACAAGGGAGTAAAGTTAAAATGATAAAATTTTTTCCTAAAGATGAATGTGTCTCTTGAAATAGACAATAAATTATAAATAAATATTGGAGGAAACAAAAAAAATTATGTAAATAAAAAAATAATTGAAAGTACTAAAAGAGATGACGAAATCCTTTTACTAAAGAAAAATTTGTTTATTTTAAAAGGCTTTGTTTTTAATTGTTTTCAAGGAATATTTAGTAAATTTTTAATAAGGCGGTATTAAAAAATGATTGAAGAATTTAATCAAAACATTTAATTAAAATAAATAAATTTCAAAAATTTTATTTTTATTTAAAATATAATCAAAATCCACACATAGGATTCAATATCTTCCCAAATACCTTTCCTACCAGCAAATAAACAACGGAACTGATATTCGGAGTATTTACTTGAAATTAAACGAGCTTAACAAATCATACATATTTTTATATTAAGTAAATTTAACAAAGAAAATAAGTAAAACCATAAATAAATTTTTAAAAAATTATGATTTCTTTACTTAAACTTTCTATTTATTTCGTTATTTTTTATTAGTTTTAAATAAATAATAGTTTAATAATTAAATAATATTTTACAAAAATATTAAATCCTCTTTAGTTTTTAAGAATATTATATACACATCAAGGTTGGCGTTAGTCCCGTGTCTCGTATCTCGTGAAATCTCGTATTTTTTGAGAGGTCTCGTATCTCGTTTTATCTCGTTCTCGTATTTTTGAGAATCTGTATCTCGTGAATCTGGTGTCTCGTATTTTGTGGCACGAGCTGCACCTCTGATACACATTATTATAAAATTATCAAAATATATTTAATTTTCCTTTAAATTTAGGGTAAAAAATATTTAAATATGAAGTTTTGACGTCAATATTTTACTATAAAAACCTAAAAAGTTTGTTCATTCTTTCTTCATCTTCATTCTCGACTTCAAAAATTTTAATAATTATTTAATTCTTTATCGTCATTATTTAAATATTGTTGGCTTATACTATTAGAACTATTGGAAGTATTATTAGTTGTGTATAATTACAATATTTTGTTAATAATGAACGTTGAAAAATTATGGGAAGTTCAATTCTACCATGGAATGGTAAAATTTTGTAATTTTTATTTAAAAACATATTTTTTCAGTTGCCTAGGTCCGAAGCATTTAAATTACTTTCAAATGATGGGGATTTTTTGTTGCGATTGAGTAAACCAGATGGAACAGAGAAGATAATATTATCTACAATTCAGAAAGGGTCAGAATTCAATTTTGTAATAAAGTATTTCAAAAAATTAACAATAATTACTACACAAACAATCGAAGATTTAATGAATCAACAATTGAAATGCAGCAAAAAAAATTTGGTGGGTAAATTCTATGTAAAATTTGAAAAATATTCTTTAAAATTAAAAAAAAATTCACAAATAATTGTTTAATAATTTTCAGATTCAACACCTAACTCTCACTACTCCAATAAATAGACAACTGTGGGAATTAACTAAACAAAGTCTAAAATTTGGGATCGTTCTTGGATCAGGAGCCTTTGGAGTAGTTCGAAAAGCTGAATTAAATGGGAATAAAGTTGCAGTTAAAGAACAAAATGAGAGTTAAGTTATTACAAGAAGCAATTTTGATGCAAAAACTACAACACCAAAATATTGTTAAATTTATTGGTAAGTATTATAATGCTAATATTAGAAAAAACTAACTTTCCTGGTTCAACCAAAAAATTTGTGGTGATAATTTCGGGGTGGGAAAAGCAAACTCACAGATTTAATATTAAAGAAAATTAAATTAGTGGGGTTTTTTGTCCAAATAAATTTTAATTAAATTCAAATTAATTCGTTAATTTTTTTAGGAATAACATTGGATGCTCTCCCATTTATGTTAGTTATGGAGCTTTGCTTAAATGGAAGTTTATGTGATTATTTACAATTAAATTACACGGATACTGGAACGAAAATTAGAATGTGTCTTGATGTCGCGTCTGGACTGGCTCACATGCATAACAAAAATATTATTCATGTGGACGTTGCTGCTCGCAATTGTTTGTATTCCAACAATCAAGTAAAGATTGCTGATTTTGGTTTATCTCGAATTTTACCGATGGGAGTGGTTTTTGTTAATATTTTGGCCAATGAGAATCTGCCACTCCGATATCTGGCACCACAAACCTATCAAAATAAAGTACTAGGAAAAACAACTGATGTGTGGAGTTATGGCGTGATGACATGGGAAATTTTTGCCAAATGCCAAACTCCTCCTTATGCCAACAATACCAATAGTCAAGTTAAGAACCAAGTATGTTTACTTAACCAATATTTAGTATTTATTTTATTTTTTAGATATTATCTGGAAAGATATTGGAATTTAATAGTTCAACTCCGAAGGAATTTTCTCAATTCGTAATCAACAAAATTTTCAACAAAAATGTAACAGAAAGAGCTTCAATGAATGAAGTTGTTCTAGCAATTGAAAACATGATTAAGGATCGGGTTAAGACAACAAATAAAGAAAAGAAAGGGAAGAAAAGAGGATAAATTCTTTCTCCAATTTTAATTCCGATTCTTACCTAAATATTTATTTCAAATCCTTACCCCAATATTTATCGAATTCTTACCTAAATATTTATTTCAAATCCTTACCCCAATATTTATCGAATTCTTACCTAAATATTTATTTCAAATCCTTATTTCATTATTTATCCCGAATTCTTATTTCATTATTTATCCTAATTCTTAACTCATTGCCCCATTTCCTTGACATATTCGTGTTTTTATATTTATAATGTATGCATATGATACATATATTGAAAAAAACGAATATTCAATAAAAATTTGGCTTCCAAAATCCCTTATTCAGATACATTTATTATTACCCAGGAATAGTTCTGATTTCGAGACATAATTTCTTAAATTCTTAGCGCCGCAAGCGAAAATTATGAAAAATGCAAAATGTGTTATATTTTTTCAACATTTTACATTCTTTCAACTTACGGTTATTTCAATAATTCGGCTACTTTAGACAAATGTAGAGAAATTTATATACAATATTTTCAACAGATGCAACAGGTAGAGCATCAATGAATGAAGTTATTGCAATTGAAAACCTGTTAAGGAAGATGAGACATCAAAACAATTAAACATTGGAATAATAATGGCGATCATTATTTATGAAATTTATTTTGGCCTTCAAAAAATTTTTCCCGCGTCATAAAAAAAATTAAAAAATTTCGATTTTAAAACATTGAATAACAACAAAAAAATTAACAAAAATTAAAAAAAACTCAACAACATTTACATTTTTATGTGAAATTGTGTTTTTCTTCTATGCCTTTTTCTTCTCATTTGTTCAATTCTATTACTAGTTTCTGATATTGGTCTAATATTTTCTTCAAATTCTTTTTTGTTTGGCCGATATAATGCATATTCTGGAGATGTTAATAAATCAAAGGATCCAGTACCCTCTCTAATTAATTGACCCATAACTATACGAGCTGAAGGACAAAAAAGTGAGTCAGAATGACCTGAAAGTAGAAAAATTTAGTGTTTTGGGGAATATTTCCAGATTATTTACCAGAAACTATAGCTTTTTGCATAAAAACCATTGTAGTTTCATAAGTCATTTTCTGTAAAGGCGAGGGGCTATGAGCCATTGCAGTACGATTAAAGGCTTGGACATCACCACCAAAGGTCATATAATCAGCAGTTAATGTTAAATGTCTTGGATTTACTTCAATTCCATAAACGCCGAACACATTATTCATTTCCTTAAAAAATTTCCTTTTTAATTCAAATTTATTTTTTTACCTTGACAATAGTTCGATTTGCAGCCTCTACACCATAACAATTTAGCATAACATTAATATCGTTTGAATAAATTGTATTGACATCCAAAAATTGTACTCGATTGTAGAAAGCCTTTTTAAAAGAAATTAAATGTTTTTTAATTAAAAATCCCCCCCCCTTCAAATACCTCCAAATTAATTCCTTGTGTTTGAAGTATTTGTATCATTTTCCCATTACGTTCTTCACTTCTAATAACACATTTTTCAACTTTATTAATTTGTGTTACTATAAATTTATCAATTTCTCTTTCAACTAATGCAGGAACATCAATTTCACATTTATTTCGAAGACGTAACTTTAAATAAATTTTACAACAAATAAATTTCTAAAAATTACCTCAAAAGTAATTGAACACCAACGCTCCTTACGAACATCATAAACATATTGTCTAACACAACCTTTGGTTACCATCTTAAAAAATAAAAATGTAAAAAATAAATTTTTACTATCTTATTTTCTAATTGTTCTTGTTCAACGATAGAATGACAACTTCTAAATTTACAGGATTTTTAATACGCGTTTCAAGTCTAAAATCCTGATTTATTTTTTATTTTTTCAAATTTGATCAAATTTTAAGTCTAAATTATTGTAAACTTACATTAACCCTTTCCTCGTCAACAATAAACTTATGCTCATTTTTTAAATTATTTGGGTCTTCCTCTACATTATCATCTTTATCGTCATCATTAGCGAGTTCAGCTTCACTATCGTCTTTTTCTTCTTCTGCTTCAATAAGTTCATCATCAAATTCATCAACAATACCAGAATCTCCTCTATCCTAAAAATTTTTATTTAGAAAATTAAAATTTTTAAAATCGATGTGACTGCAATAACAATTATTGTCACACGCAGTTTTTCAATTTCGCTTTTTAATTTCTGAATAGACTCGGTCTTACAAGGTTAATAACAAGTATCACTAAATTTTAGAAGGAAGCGCGAGAAGTAATATAAAAATTATTTAAAAAAGATCAGAATATTCTGACTTCTAAAAATTATATAAAACACATGCCTGTTCTTCACCCTCATATTCAGCCATTCCATCCAAATGACGTCTATTCAACCTTTCTTCGTGTGCATCTAACTCTCCTTGTAAATCAGCCATTGCATCTTCTTCATCGCTAGCTAAGAATTCATCCTTTAGATTAAAAGAAATTTTTTAAAGAATTTATTATCAATTAAATACTTGTCCTTTCTTGGTTGTTTCGACTTGTTCTCCACCAGCATCATTATCGTTGCCACGAATTTTTCTAAATTTAAAGAAAATAAATAAAAATTTATTTTTAAATTATCAGAATTGCTAAATTTTTATTTAAACTTTCAAATAATTCTGACAAAAATTTCTTTAAACCTTTGTTGAATTTGTTGTTGTTCAAATACATCTTTATCTCTTTTTATTAAATGTGTAGAGAGTAAAGGAACAAAACGACTTTCAATTTCAAGCATTATTTTCTTTCTACGCAAATGACGAGCAATTTGATCACGTTTTTTATTTTTAAGTAATTCAAGTCGAACAATATATTGACGATAACAAAGTCTAAAAATTGAAAGAATTTAACAATAAAAAATTCTAATTACCCATCCTCTCTAGCCACAATTCCTTCAACAAGAGAAAAATTTTTCAAAACATGTCTAAGAGTTATGGGGCTAAATTCCGATTTAAGTTGCTGAACTTGTTCTTCATTTACTTCAGGACGAATACAAATCTAGAAATGAGAATTAAGAATAATTTTTAAAAATTCAAAAATTTTTTTTAATTTTTCACCTCAGCCATAGGTGTAGCAATTGATTTCCCCTGTGTCATCAAAATTTCTCTCAATCTAGGAATTCCTAAAGTAACGTTCATTTCACCTCTTCCAGCAAAGTGAAAAGTATTTAAAGTCATTTGTGTTGATGGTTCTCCAATAGATTGAGCAGCTAAAAGTCCAACAGACTCTCCTGGATCAGCATAAGCACGAAGGCCTTTCCAATAAATTGATCTTTTAAATAAATTTAGATTGTTGCCTAATTTAGATTTTTGAGCATAATTATTTAATTGATTTAAAAAAGATTCTGGAAGTGAACCAAGATTTGTAGCAGGATGGAAAACCTGTTAAAAGATTTTATAGTAGAAGAAAAAATAAAAAGTTTATTAGAAACTAACCACATCAACAGGCTCTGGTGGCTTCAAATCTTTTGGAATATAAACCTCTCTTTCTTCTTTGTTTAATTTATTCCAATCAGCAACTAACGAATCTTTTAATAGATAATTTGAATCTACACTTTGATGGAATTGATTAAAAGCAGAAAATCGTTTATTCTTGCAAATATTCGCAATATCTACATTTTGACTTTTATCCTGTTTAAATTTAAAGATAATTCTACAATTTTCGAAGCCAAAAAGGGAAAGTAAAATATACTAAAAATACTAGATCCACACCTGATTCGCCACAATTATTTCAAATAAAATATAAAATTAACCTGCAATTCAAGAATTCTTCTTTGTTTAAATTTAGATATCCTTTTGTAGTGTTTCTCAGTTTCAGATAAATTCCATTTTGTGTGTTCCTCTTCTTCGGGATTATCGAATGATGGAATGAATAATTTTTGTATAGCTTCAATATTTTCAACAAGAAATGGAAATTGTTTTGAAGTGAGGAATGTTGAACGTCCAACATCAAGACCATCTTCTCCATAGCGGAACTTAAAAAAATTTAATAAATATATAAACAGAAGTTGATGCCTAAAAAACTATCCAAATTTTATACCTGAATAATACTATCATCAAAATTCCGCACACTATTGTCATAACGAACAGAAATTCCTTCCAAATGTTTAATAATACATCGTTGTAAATAACCGGAACGAGAAGTTTTGACAGCCGTGTCAATCAGACCCTTAAAATTTAACAAAATAATCAAAACATACATAAATTTTACGTTAAATATTAATAGTAGATAAACTATGTAATAAAGATATATTTGTAAAAAGAAATAGATCACAAACTTCACGTCCAGCCATTGTGTGAAAAAATAATTCCTGTGGATTAATTCCAGTTAGAAAACGTTGTTCAACAAAACCTCCAGCTCTAGGGGATGGGTCAAAACTTCTAAATGAAGGTAAAGATCGGCCAGTAATTGAAAGAGCTGGTCGTTGACCTTCCAGTTCAATCTGGCCAAGTGCACAACTTATCTAATTTTTAAAATTTTAACAATGAAAAAGCAACAACTTAATACTATAATTACTTGAATGGAATTGACTAGTGAACCTTTAGCACCAGATTGTATCATTAATTGAAGTGAATTTCGTGGAAAATCTTTAATTAAGCCGGAAGGAACACACGCGCTAAAATTAGAGTAAATAGCAATATTTTAAAAAACTTTAATAAGAATCGTCCGCAATAAAATCAAAGGGAAGAGGAGGCAACGCTTCAGTTCCGAATGACCCCCTCCCCCTAAAAAAGATATTTAAATACAAAATAAACCTATTAATTTGTTCTGCATATTTATTTATTGCTTGCTTCATTGAAAAATCAACCATTTTAACCATTTCTCGATCTCTTGGGTGGTTATAAGTTGATGCCAATGTATATCTAATTTTATCAAATGAAGTATCTTCTGGTAAAGAAAAAGCTTTTTGAACAACAGAATTCCCGCAAGATCTCAATTCTTCAATTAAAGACTTCCTTTGAGCATCAGCTTTTTTGGTTACCAAAATATCAGAAACGCCAAGTGAAAAGCCATGAAACTTGAAAATTAAAAAGAATTTAGAAATTAATTTTCAAAATTAAAAACCTGCAAATGAGTGGTAAATACTCTTGAAAAACAACTCAACATTTTTATAGCAACTTTGGGTCCATACAATTCGTAAACGCAATGAATTAATCCGAATTGTGTTGTTCCATAATGAGCCTTATCCAAAACACCACAAAGAAGTTGTCCTGTCCTTTATTTTTATTTTACTATAAAAACTTTTAAAAAATACAAAAAATACCGTATAATAACATTAGATTCACTCATTTCAAAAGAAGGCGTATTCATTTCATCTCCGGTAAATGGATCTCTAGCTTTCCAACAAGTAAGGGGAGTTTTTGCTTTTCCAGATAAATTTATTTGGGGTTTATCAGACGGGCAACAATTTTGTATAATTGCTGTTATGACCTGAAAATTTAAAATAATTCCGAAGGCCAAAAATGTATCATAAATTTTTGATAACATCTAATTCTAACCTGTTTTCCACTCCACAATTTTTGAGGTTTAATAATTGTCGGAGGTGGAATTGACAAATATTCAGTATATTGAGAAAATGCAGAGAGAATAAGATGCATAAAATCTTCTTTATTGAAGAACTGTCCTCTAAGAGTCATCAAGACACCAGATACAACATGATCTTGAATAAGTCCGAGGATTGGAGTGCCATCTTTTGGTACCAAAAAGTTACTCCCAACACCGGCTAAAATTCAATAAAAGTTAAAAAATAAGATAAAAATCAAACCTAATTCAGCAATCTCACTTTGTGCTACACGATTTTGGACAAAATGCCCATTCATTTCGTCGCCGTCGAAGTCAGCGTTATAAGCTTTGCAAGGGGCATAATTCATTCTTAATGCTTTTTGGGAATGTAAAACACGAACTCGATGACCCATTATTGAAGGTTTGTGCAAAGTTGGCTGTCGATTCATTAACATTCTATCGCCGTTCTGAAGGCTCCGTAATACCTGAAGAAAGAAGTTTAAATGAAATCAGTAGGTAAATTAGAAAATTGTCACTATAATTAAAATCCAATCCCAAAGACATAAAAAGATCCAAATTGTAATTTTGGTTCTTCGAGACAAAGTAATAAAATATGGTAAATAGAGCTGAACGAGTTTACATGTTTTAATTCATGGAAACTAATTGTAAGCAGAAACTTGTTAGTCAGAACAATCCAGAAAGTTATGCCAGCCTCTAATTCCAAACTTAATTTAATTAAAACAAGAAAACTAACAACGTCAGGCATTGAATGCACGCTATGAGTATTCCCAGCATGAAGTCGAGAAGAATAGAAGCCTCGATCTCTGTCAAAAGTTGGACCAGATTTTAACATTAATCTCATTGGTGGCTTTCCAAGCTTTCCAGATACCTAACAAACAAAATTTTAAAAATTATACAAACTCTAAAAACCTCAATGAAACTTGCTCCCGGATGTTTATCAGGACCTCTTTTAACTAATTCTTTCATTGTATAAATATTTCTATCATTCAAAGCCTCTGGAAATGTTAACTTTCTTGCAAATAATTCAGGTATTCCAATTTCGTCAATATCCAAATAAGGGTCTGGAGTAATAACTGAACGACAGGCATAATTTACACGTTTACCCATCATGTGCATCCGAAAAAGTCCCTCAAAAATTATTTTGAAATTTACTAAAAATTATTTTAGCAATACCTCTTTTTTCTCCAATGTTTGCCTTAAACCAACTTGTCCAGCAGATGTGTCCAATCTATTAGCATCTTTGTCATACAATACATTTGCACGCATTTGTAATTCTAAATAGGCATTATGGAGTTTTTCATTCATTGTTTTTCCTGGTACGCGACTTTCAATCATTTCCTTAAATTAGAATATTTAAATGGTGGGTAAAAACCAACAAAGCTTATTTATCAGTGGAAATTAACCCAAATTTCAAGAAAAATTCGATTAAAGAATAGAATAAAAATCTAAATTAAAAACCTTTGCAGCAATTCCACTATCTTTACCATCAGTTTTTATATACATTTTGATAAGTAAAATAAGTTGACTAGCTTCCAAAAGTTTTCTTAAATTAGAAGTAACAGAATGTTCAAATTTTTCAGAATTAAGATAACGAATTGGGCGAAAACGAGAAGGCTCAACTAGTACCTTTTAATAAAATTCGTGAAAAAAATTCTACAAATAACTACCGTTTCAATAAAAAGTGAGTCAATAGAAGGCAAATTTCCAAAACAAAATCCCTTAAAAAATATTTAAAATAAATAAAATATACAAAAAAAACCTCGTCTTTTTCATTAAATAAAGGAAATAAATGTTTTAATAAAAATCCTTCTCTCTGCCAAACTAAACGAAAATGTTCTCTAACTTCTGATGCTCTCCAAGCTAATTTATCACATTTTCCAATAATTATTTGTTGTAATTGAGCATCTAATAATTGATCACAAAGTGAGGATGTTGTAAATGAAATATCAGAGGATTTAGATTTTGGAGTTGTTAAACCAAACTTTAAAAAGCAAAAATAAAATGAAAGTTTAGCAAACTTTAAGAAGAAAGTTGAAAAAATTAAAAATCTCAAAGATTTCTGAGTATCCTAAAATGCCCTTTTTAACACTCACAAACAAAACTCAAAAGTAAAAAATATTCCAAAAATCTTTAACATCAAAATTAACCTTTTTATCAAAATCTGTATCAAATTCCAACCCTCCTCCAATACCCAAATCAGGCCTTAAATCTTCAATCGAAACTTGGGGTAATTGTGGATGTCCTTTAGTTAGTGAACTATAAAAATCAAAAAAGGCTGGTAAAATTTAATTTTTAAAAAACCTTTTGTTTTCTATTTTTGGAAGAGAACGTCCAGCTTTCACTAAAAATTTATGAAAAAAAATTAGTAAAAATAAAACAGAAAAAACCTGCATTTGCTTGTTTAGTAAAATCCAATAAAAAGGCTCTCTTAAAATCATTACGTAAATACCCATTAGGTCTTTTACATATCGGACATCGAGTTTTTCTTTTTAACTTTAAATTAATTAATTTTTAAAATTTTAAATTAATCTACCAATTCTTTTAAAAACGTTTTTATCAAAATTTCTTTTTCATTTAAATCGTTTCTCAAAATATTTTGATTAAAATAATTTTTTGAATTTAAAAAATCGGCAGAATCTATATTTGCTAATTTTGCAATGATTGAATCAATTTCTCTAAGAAATGCTTGTTCTCCCAATAATTCAATTTTTTCACCTAAAAATAGAATCAAAATGTAAAATAAATCCGATGTTGACTGTCAATAAAGAAGTGCTGTATTTTCTGAACTGGAGAATATATTTTCTATATTTTCTGAACTGGAAAAAAATCCGGAGTTTATTCAGTCCCTAATTGTCAAACATTAAAAATGAAAAAAATCCTGTACATAAACTTAATAGTAAAAATGGAAGACCTTAATAAAGACACTTGTAAGATAATTTGGAATGGGCAAATTCTATGGATTACTAAATTTAATAAAAACCTATAGCTTCTCCATTTGCAATTCTATTCTTTATTTCACCACTAATACTTTCCAGTATTTCAGAGAAACCAAAATCTATTGCTCTGAGTTTTGCAATCAAAATTTTTGTAGGTATAGAATTTGTATCAATTGTAAATCGATGACAATGAATACATGTAGCTTTCATTATCTATTAAAAGAAAAATAAAATTGTCATAGTTTAAAGAATTACATTATTTATAAAGCTAAATAAAAGTGGATTAAAGACAGGCAATGCAAGTTCAATATGTCCATAATGCCCAGGACAATGATTGTCAGACAATCTACATGTATCACAAACGCCCTCAGAAGGTCCCAGACGAAGATCATAAAGGCCTCCACGCGTAGGAAATCCTACCTTAAATATTAACTCTTTTAGTTTTGTAAAAAATTTTTTAAAACAAAAACCTCATCAAAAGTATCAGCTTTAGTTATTTCCATTACACTAATTTTCCTAACTTCTTCTGATGTATATATTTTCATTTCCATTGCATCAAATTGCATAAAAGACCGGTTTTGTTTTACTGAGAGATCAGCGGATGAAGCCATTTGTAATAAAATAATATAAAACTATAAAAACTAAATTAATAAAGTAAAAAGAAGCTAAGAATAAGAAAAATAATCAATGTTTTTGCAACAAAAATTAAAACAAAATTTATTAAAATTTAATAATTTTCAAGTCAAATATTTAATAAAATGCAAGTGAATTTAAAATTAAGTAAAACAAATTTCGTGTAAATAAAGTCCCCAAAAAGGCACGATTATGGAAAGATATGTAAATGGCATTTTGGCGGAATGGTACTACTACTATCCAGCAGGGAACGGGCCAGGTTGTTCAAAAAAAAGTACTCCTTAACTTGCCGAATAGAATATAAGCAATTTTTCACTACTATATCGACATGACATAAGTATGTTTTAATCATGCATGTAGCATACCCCAAAAACATGTGTCGTTATAAATAATCACAACGACATCCTTCTAATAAACATAATCTCATAACTAACGGAATTTAAATCTAATTAACGAAATTTATTTGGATAAATAAAAACCCCAAAAAATGAATTTCTTTAAAATCATATCGATAATCTAAAAGTGTCTTTTTTACCCCAAAATTGCCAACACCAACATTTGTTTTAACGGTTAAACCGGGAGTTTCTTAAAATATTATTATCATTATGATAATTACCAATAAACTGCAGAATATTTCGATGATTTAATAACTTCATTAATAAGGCTTCTTTAAGTAATTTTGTGCTGTCATTCTGCTGTTTGACAGCAACTTCAGTTCCATTTAATAAAGCTTTACTTACAAATCCGAAGGTTCCAGCCCCCAATGATTTTCCAATTTTTAAGTTATCTCTCGATAATTCCCAACTACTTCTAATGATTGGATTTGTAATTGTTATTGTTCGGATCTGAAAATTATTAACAATTATTATTTAAATTTCGAATCTTAAAAGTTACTCACCAAATTGTTTTTCTTCTTCTTTAATTCCTTATTTATGAGATCCTCTATAGTATTGTGGTAACAATTGTTATTTTAGAGAAATCTTTAAACATAAAATTGAATTGTTGAGCTTTTTGTATTGTTGATACCACAAATACTATAGAGGATCTCATAAATAAGGAATTAAAGAAGAAAAACAATTTGGTGAGTAACTTTTAAGATTCGAAATTTAAATAATAATTGTTAATAATTTTCAGATCCGAACAATAACAATTACAAATCCAATCATTAGAAGTAGTTGGGAATTATCGAGAGATAACTTAAAAATTGGAAAATCATTGGGGGCTGGAACCTTCGGATTTGTAAGTAAAGCTTTATTAAATGGAACTGAAGTTGCTGTCAAACAGCAGAATGACAGCACAAAATTACTTAAAGAAGCCTTATTAATGAAGTTATTAAATCATCGAAATATTCTGCAGTTTATTGGTAATTATCATAATGATAATAATATTTTAAAAAACTCCCGGTTTAACCGTTAAAACAAATGTTGGTGTTGGCAATTTTGGGGTAAAAAAGACAAACTTTTAGATTATCGATTTGATTTTAAAGAAATTCATTTTTTGGGGTTTTTATTTGTCCAACTAAATTTCGTTAATTATTCTATATTTAAATTAATTAGTTATTTCCTAAATTACCATTAGTTATGAAATTATGTTTAGAAGGATAGCGTTGTGATTATGTCGAATATATGCCAGCCAAGTTAAAAATTATTTGTTTGTTATCCCACTCAATATCAAAAACATGTATGGAGCGGGGACGGCAGTAGTACCGGTGAAGTCTTGTAAAGTGAAATATAATCGTCAAAGGCGATCCCAACTATAATTTCAAGGAAATAACTAAAAAATTTGTTTGGTACTTCCTGTTATCTCCAGCAGGGTTTTAACTAACTAGATAGTATTATAAAAATTGAAAATTTCTGATGCCTACTTAATCCACCTTGCTCCATCAATTATCTCATGATCCCTCCACATCTCCCCTACTACCTCCATATCTCCAAGCTCTTAATATCCCTAATATACATCCACAAAATCCCTCCAAAACTCATTTTCAAAAGCTAGTTTTTTATAATACCAATGTACTATCTAGTTAATAACCGAGGAAAAACAGTGAGTACCACTTTTACATAATTTAAATTATAGGAATAAAAGTAGTAGAAATTTCTAGGACCTTTGACAATTTTTAAGAGGCATTGCAAAGAGAATATTATTACTAAAATTTTAAATATGGGATTTTACTTTTCATTGTTTGTTAAAATCAAAAGGTCACTTTTTATTGCTTCATTTTTTAAGGCACATACGTATTTAAGTGCAGTCATCTTAATTATTTTCCTTTTATACCGGATCGTTGTCATTCTCAAGATTTTGATATTGTCCTCCTCCTTGCCTTCGACGAGGAATACGTCTATCACGAAAAGTTTGAGCAGAATTTAAGTCAATGTGCTGAAAATTGAAAATAACTTTTAGGGAAACTTTTAATTTATAACTTCTAAGATTCTAAAAATTAGAAACGATTTCTAGCAGGGAGATGCGCCGAAATTTTTGCGTGACGTGCTGAACGTCAATTTTTCAAATAATTAAAATGTGCCGCTAAAAATAATCAAAAAAGGAATATCTCGATTCATTATGGTCAATTTATTCTCAAGGCGGGGCATAACTTTGTGATTTTTAATCAATTTAAATAACTAGTATCGTAACAATAGAAGCTTTTGATATAGGGATTATTTTATCTGAAAGGATTAGTTTGATCAAATCATATTATAAAAAGTTAAACATGGAAAAGTGCCAAAAAGTCATGATTTTTGATGATAACTTTTTGTAAGATGATCTGCTAAATTCAATCCTACTAGATAAAATAAGCACACAAAAACGCCACGCCAAAACCCCATAGCGCACATCGCTGATTTCTAGTGTAAATTATCTTATATCAACTTTTACCTCTGCACCACCCTTCTTATAAAGATTCACTTCATCAATTAAATCAGCCTTCTTTCTTTGCTCTTCAACCAAATTTTGATGTAAATCTTGAATAATTTCTTCAAGCTGTGCAATTTTCTGAAGATATTTTTTTCGTTCCTGTTCCATTTGAAATTCAACAAGATCACGAACACGTTTCTCATCCACATGTTTTTTCTTCTTTTTAGAATTTGCACGTCCAGCAGAATCATCATTAATGCCTTTTTGTCGACCCAAATAAGCCAACTTTTCAATAACCTTAAAAGAAATAATTTATAAAACGTTATAAAGAAAAACACAGACTTGTTCTTTAAGTTTAATTTCGCGTTGACATCGATGAATAAGTTGATCTCTAGAGAGCATTTCCAACTCGCCAGAAGACGAAAGAATAGAATTATTATTATTGTGTAATTGAACTGAAGCAAAAGAATTTGTTGCAGAAACAAGTGAAGAAGTAGAAACAGCACTAGATAAAGTATTTGTTCCGCCAAAAACTGGAGCTAATCCCATAGGTCCATGTGAATGTTTACGTATTTGGTTAATTTCTTCTTGAAGTTGTTTATTTTGGCTAATTAATTCATTTTCTTTTTTGGATGCCTAAAAATAATTTTTTTAATTTGAAAAAAAAATATAAAAATAACCAAATTAAGATTAGCTGTCAACGATTTATATTCTTGTTCATGCCTCTGCATTGCTGCACGCAATTCAGTCTCCAAAAAGGACTTATCTTTTTGCAGGTCAACAAAACTATTTTGCAAATGTTGATGCGAAACACGTTCCCGTTCCAATGTAAGCACAAATTCTTCAATTTGTTGTCTAAATTAAATATGTAAAATCAGAAAAATTTTTAAATTTAAAATATTAAAGATGTCAAAAATCCAGTTCTTTTAATAAGAACATCGATTCCTAAAATTTTTTCGAATTCGGGGAGACTAATGGTCATATTTTTCCGTCTAACTGAATTTGAATAATTTACAGGAGAAACCCCAAATTTAATTATAAACTTATTACCCCATATTTTGAAATTTTTTCTCCTTTTCTTCATTATCCTTTGCCCGTGCCTCAATTTCAACTTTGAAAAGTCCAGATAATTTTTGCTCAGCTTCAAGTCTTTGTTGACAATCTGAGAAAAGTCGTCTTTGTCCCTCCAGCTGCTCCTGAAGGTCTTCAATTTTATTTTCAAGAACCCGTCTTTGATATTTCAATTCTCCAACCTGATAAAAAATTAATTTAGAAAGAAATAAACATATAAGGGAATTCTGCATTCTACTAACGTGAATAACGCCAAAAGGTCGTCGGTGTAAATATTCAAGCTTACATGATTTCCCAAATAATATTTACCTTATGTTAGTGCGACTTGAAATATATCCGATTAATTACAAAAAACCTAACCTCATGAGAAAGTCTTGGTGGTGGAACAGCAGGTGCTGCAGTTGCATTGTTGTTATTATTATTCAAATGATGGTTGTTTATTTGTTGTTGTTGCTCAAGTTGTTCCTTACATTTTTGAAGATGAAGCTCCAACATTTTATTTGTCTCTCGCAACTGTTCTGCCTAAAATTTAAAAAAATAAAAGAACAGACAGACAAAAAATAAATTGAAAAAAAATCATTTTCCAAAAAATGTCTAATTTTTACCTCTTGTTGAGTCGGTGTCAACTTTCCAACCTCTACTTCAAGCTCTTTTATTCGACCTGACAAATTCTCCTTCTCTTGTTTCAGAGAATCAACCTAAAAAATAACAATTTTAACAAAATTATAATTTAAAATATTATTTTTCTAAAATACTTCTGACTCGATCATTTCTTGATTTTGCTTCATTTCTGCGCATTTCATTTCCAAAATTTCTCTTTCCTTTGCCAACAAATCAATCTAAAATTTAAATTTGTAAAAATATTATTTTAGTAAATAGAAAAACCTCAGCCTTTGCAGAATTTGTCTCTATTTCCAATTGTTCTTTAATATTTTTTAATTGTTGTTGGAGAAGTTCATTCTCGTTGGTTAACTCATCAACCTTCTAAAATAAAAATTAACCATTTTTTAAAGAATTAACTCATTAAAAAACCTATTAAAAGTCAAATGTAAATACAAAAAATTTAATTAAAATTTTTTTACAGAAAATCTTACCTCTTCTAAATGACAATTATTTTCACCTCCACAAGTCCCATTAACATCAGGATTATCTAACAAATTATTATTTCCATTTACAATTGGCTGAAGTACGGCTTCTTCAAGTTGTTTTTTAATTAAATCCAATGGACTTAAAAAACATTTATCTAGTTTGTAATAATTTTTATAAAAAAACCCAAATTCGTTGGAGAAAGTAAATCCAATAAAAGGTAATTGATTGCCGGTAAAAGCCTTTGGAATTTGAAAACTTTCACAATCAACAGGATCCGCAGGTTCAACATCGTCAAAATGGGATGTATCATCATCACCAAGAAGATCGGGAACATATGGAGGTGTTGCTAAATTTTCAAAATTAAATTATAAAAAAAAGAAGTCTGTGCGTAAATATCAAAATGAGTGAGAGGAAGATATTATTGAGTCCAAAATTAAAAAAATTACATTTTTGAATTGTGTCAAAGGTCCAAACAGAATTTTTAAAGAATGCATGTCCTCGTATCGCAGAAATTCCATCTCGTCCAAGTCGAATGTTAGGTTCAGAAAGAAAACTCCGAATAATATCTTTAGCACTGCTAGACACTTTAACATCTCCAGGAAATTTTAATTGTTTGTTGTGATCCATAATTTTTGAATAAGTTTGGACTAAACTTTCAGCATAAAAAGGAGTTTCCCCAAAAAGCATTTCATAAAGAAATACACCAACAGCCCACCAATCGACTTCCCGTCCATAAACACCCTCTCCTCCTTGTGAACGGAGAACTTCAGGGCTAATATAGTCTGGAGTGCCAACAGCCATAGAACAACGGACAAGTCCATCCTATTAAATTAAAAACGGTTTTGAAAATTAAAAAAAACGTTCACCTTATTCATTCTAATACAAGTTCCAAAATCAGCAAGTTTAATATGACCATCTGCAGAAATAAGCATGTTATCTAAAAATTAAATTTTTAAAAATTCAAAAAAATGTAAAAACCTGGTTTGACATCTCTATGAATATATCCAAGTGAATGAATTGCATCCAATGCCAAAACTAATTCTGCTGTGTAAAATTGTGCCCAATCTTCAGGAATGTCGTGGTTGGCCATTAAATTTACCATGTCTCCACCGGGCATGAATTCCATAACCATGTACTGAAAAATTAAAAATTCAAACTTTTGGACAATATATACAAAGAATATCAAACAAAGAAATAAATACTACCCCCTTACGAACTTTAGTTTTAGAAAAATTTTTATTAAAAAATAACCAAATTTCTCAAATCTTGGAATGCATAATGTAATTTAACAATCCATTCAGAATTTGAATAAGCCATTATATTACGCTCTTCCCAGAAAAATGCAGCATCAGAACGTCTTATCTAAAAAGAATATAAAAATAAAAATAATTTTTTCAAAAAAAACCATTTTGTCTTTGTCGAGCATTTTCATTGCATAAACTTGGTTATTTTGAATATTTCGAACAAGTTGAACTTCCCCAAATGCACCTCTCCCAATTACTTTAATAATACGAAAATTAATATTGCTGATTCGACAATCAATTAAAGATTTTACAAGTTGCTCATCTAAAAATAAAATTTTTTATTTAATTCTTAAATTAAAAATAAATAAAAAAATTTTTCCAAACACATTTGAAAAAATAGAAATTTGCAACTCTTATTCAGAATAAAAATAAGTTAATAAAAATATACCAAAATTAAAGAGTTAAATTTTTGTTAGATTTTTAGAGAAACCCCAGAAAAGAAGAGAAATGTATAGGGCATGAAAAAATTAAATATTTAAAAATTCTTACTTCTGTCCAAAAATGTTTCAATTGTTTTTTGCGTTCTTTTTAAGACGGGGTAATTGCAATCATAAAACAAAGCTATTACACAATCCTAAATATATTTTTAAATTATTTTAAGGTTTTCTAAAAAGTGAAAGGTAAAATTTAAATAATTCTCGATCAAAAATTGAGTAATCCCTCCAAAATCACCCATCTCCGTCAACCAAATTAATTTTCACAAAAAATCAACAAATTAAAAACCTACCAACAATCCATCCAAGTTGAGAACACATTTTGGATCAAGTAATTGTGTAGTTAATCGTTGTACTAATTCTGAGTTCATCAATATTGACATTTATTTTTTTACTAAAAAAAAATTTAAAAAATCTTTTTAATATTGTTTTTAGCTAATATTTTTTTAGCTTTTTTTGGTTTGTCATTTAATGCCTAAAAAAGCCTTCTCACAAATGATGAATAACCAAAAAAGGATAGCGGGAAAAGGTGAATAAAAAAAAGATTTTTTTGGGTTTCAGGATGAAAAAAATAAAAAAAGAATTGAAAAAATTACAACAAAAAAATGTAAAAAGGAAGAGAAGAAAGATCAGAAGAAGCAAAACAAATCGATAATGACTAGCGGCAGGGAACCGGTGCAAGGATAAGCGGACGAACCGGAGAAGGACAAAAGAAGTAGAGAGAAGAATGTGACTGTAAGGAGAAAAATTTGTTTGTTGTTGTAAACTGAGGAAGGAAGGAATGTGCTGCTACGTTTTGTTATTGGAGAAGAAAATGGGTGGTGAACTGTTAAATATATGAATGTGCGCGTAAATAAATGTTTAAACGGATGAATTGGATCAGACAGAAATTAATAAATCAATGGAAACGTAATAAAGGGATTTTCATATTTAAAGATTTTGAGAATTTTAAGGTCTGAAATTTCGAATTTCTAGACAGAAAAAAATAAAAGAGAGATTCAAATCGAAAAGAAAGACTAAAAATTTATTCTTGTATTTTTCAGATCTTTGAACAATTTTTACAGATTTTTATGTTTGGCATTATGATTATTGACACTTATTTGCTGGCGTTTTGTTCCCCTTCATTTTATGGATGTTTTATTCATTTCTCCCTAATTATTGTTTTGACTTTGGAGCTTTTTGTTGCTCCCATTATATTGGGCGTTTTGATAATTTTCCCCTTATGGACATTTTTATATTTTACTTTGATGACGTCACTTTTGCCTTTACAAATGCCAAAATACACATTTAATTAATAATTTTTTTCTTAATTTCGTCAAATATTTTAAAATAAAATTTTTGAAATAATTTATATTTAAAGGTCAAAAATGTCTTCAAATTATTCTTCGCCAATTATTTCAACAAAAAATCAAAACACAGAAAACCAATCAAAGCCAACTTTATTTTCACCTTTAGACTCCGTCGCTACGCAACAGAAACAGCAACAACAGCAAATTTCACCTAGTTTTTCATCAGAAAGTGAAAATATTAACAAACCTTCTCAAATTAAAACTTCCCCAAGTAATTTTGAACAAAAACAAAAAAATTTCTTTAGGTTTTTTTAACTTTTTCTAAATAAATTTTAAATATTTAAAGTTGTTCAATAGCAGCACCTTCATCTCCGCCAACTTTGAAATCTACAAAAGCAGTATCTCCTATTGAATCTCATCAACAAAAACCTCTTGTTGCTAGTAATAGAAAGACTTGTCAGTCATTAACTACACAAAAACAGGTTGGAAATTGAAAATACCGAAATTTCTTTTCCGATTTTAAAGAGAAAATTTTCTTTAAATTTTGAATTTTTGAAAAAATATTTTTAAGAGCTCCGCATCATCTGAAATGTTTCTTGCTGCCGATCCAATTCTTATGGACCTGCAAAAGGCCAAAACTAACAATAAGCGTAAACGTGAAGATGGAGTTCAGCCTCTCGCTAATATTAAAAGAGATAAGAAGCAAAACTCGGAAACTAATACAGGTACTAAATTTTGTATATATAAGTTGTCGAGGGCGTATCCAGGAGGCTGGGGAGGAAGGAGCTTTTTAGCCTTTTACTCTTCTCTCTCAGATTTTTTAAATTTTTAGAAGAACCAGAAGCACGTTGCAGCGTAAACAAAACCTCATTTTCTTCTCTTGGTCGCATTCCAAAGATTGAAAAACCTGAACCGCCACCAACAACAGCTCGTTCTGATCCAAATGTCAACATTTTACCTCTAACAATTAATACAAAAATTCTAAAGCCTGAAGAGTTAGACAAGGCAGAGAATGTTGATAAACACTCGCCTCGTTTTAGCGAAGATACTGAAAATAATAGGTAATTTTTGATAATCTCCAGAAATTACATGTTTTTTATTTTTATTTTTTTCCAGTAAATCTAACAAAAAGAACACCAACAATACATTATTGACTACTTCAACAATTAATGGAATTAATGAAAAAAGTGTTCAACAACGGCCAAAAAGAGATATTTCAAGTATTCGTCAGAAAAATCAAAGGAAAACTTTTAAACTTCCCAAAATTTCTGAAAAGGTTTTTAAAATAATTTTAAAAATAATTATTAACTTTTTTCAAGTTTCGGAAATATATAAATGTTGAAAGGCATGCTAATGGTGGGGCAAGTTTACTTCGATGTGATTGGCGTAAATTGCAACATAATTTGTCTTCTCAGGAACGACAACAATTTGCTGAGCAATTTATTTCGCTTGGATTTTTTGAAATTGAAAAGGTAATTCAATCTTCCATTTCCTTAATGTTTTCTAACTAATTCGTTATATTTTTTGCCTTAATTTCAAAAAAATATTTCAAATTTTAGGTACCTCTTTTTGTTATTTGCATCGTTGACAACGCAATGGAATATTTGGAAAATATTTTAGAATTTCTTGGTACAAAATATCCAAAATTGCCTGTCAAAATGGGTTCTCTTCACAATAAGCAAATGGTTGAAACCTTAAAAATGGGAGAATATTATGAGAGAGTAATGGCTACTTACTCTTATGGAACTTATCGTTGTGGACCGCTAAACAATATTACATTGGTTTGTTTATTTAATATATTCTTGTTAAATTCAAAATAAATTTTTTGAAGGTTGGCAGAAAGCAAGAAGAATGTGGAGAATATTTTGAAGTTTACTCATTTTAACTTAAATTTAAAATTTCTACTTTAAAGCATATACTTGAGCGTCTAGAGGAATGCCCTTTTCTTCGTTTACTTCTTCCTTGGAGTGAGAATTCTGTCAAATCTTTTTGGAAACCAAATGGTTTTTTTTAAATTATTTCTTAGTTCCACTTTATTAAAGATTCTGATGATGGTCCAATTTATTGGTGTCGTCCAGGAGAACAATTAATCCGGACAGATGATTTGTCCAAAGCAAATCAGCAACAACAGCAGAGACGCGCTAGTACATCTTTGAAGTACCAACATCATAAAACAATGCCTTTAAAGTAACAATTTTTTTTATTTGGGGGAAATCTTTTAATAATTCGATTTATTTGAAAATACATTAAATTCTGACCGTATAATCAAATAAAACCTTATTTTTTCTTTTGTATTTTAGAGCACTGGAGCGGCGTGAAACGCTTTTTGAAGATCGAACGCCTTGTCACGTTGATTCTGTTGTTGAAGAAGATACAGGGGAAAGAAGTGAAACAGGTGCAGTTGGAATCTTACAATCGATTGATTGCCATAAATTATCAAATGGTATTGATAACCAAGAAAAACAACAAAGAATTGTAAAAGAAGTTACTTGCTTTCATGGAGCAGATTTTGACAGATTGGTGGAAATTCTGCAAGTATGTTAATATTTTTGTTTTAAAAATTTGAGAATTTTTTAGTTAGACATTTATGAACCTCCAATGTCTCAATGTGTACAATGGGTTGAGGAAGCAAAATTAAACTCTTTACGGAGAGAAGGAATTCGTTATGCAAAATTTTCGGTAAATAAAAATTTAGAAAACTTTGAAAATAATTTTTAAAAATATTTTCAGTTACGAGAGAATTGCGTTTACTTTTTGCCAAGAAAAATTATGTGAGTTTGTTCTCTTTTGTAAATATAATAATTTTGTAATTTATTTTAAGTCATCAATTCCGAACAATATCTGCTTGCGGTTCAATTGCTTGGCATATTCGTTTAAAGCAGTATTATGACAAAAAAGACCAGGACAAGAAAGTTTCCCCAAATGTGTAGTTCGGAATGATTTTTGTTTGATCTTCAATTTTTAGATTTGGGAATAGGATAAGAATTTGGGAGTTTACTAAATTTGACCCATTGCCCAAAATTCCTTTCCAATTTTAGAAACATTACACAACTATTCATTTCAAAATCATTTTACCCATTTGACATTCCAGAAATTCAAATCCCATAACTTTTTTGATTAGCACCTCATACGTAAAGGTCTCAAGTAATGAATACAAAATAAATTCAATGCCTTAATTTCACTTTTTCGAAATCCAAGTAAAAAATTCGGCTTTGTATTCATTAATTGTCGAACTATTTACGAGAACCTCACTTTCCTCTTATCTCAAAAATATTTTTATAGGCTTTAATCGCTAGTCCTTTTTTCTTTTTCCAATTTATTTTGCCAATTTTTAAACACTTGTAAATTCTGACAATTTTTTTTACAAAATATAGAAATTCGGGTGTATAATTTTGTGGCATATTTTTGATTACCATGACATTTAATTAAGAATAGCCAGAAAATTAAAAAAAATATTTTAGAATTTTAAAATTACAATTCTTTATTTTCTGGCTATTTTTGAATTTTGCATATCAACCCAATTTTCTTGTAATTTTAACAGTAATCCAGTAAATTCATTTAAAAAATTTTCTGGTCTTAAAATTAAGAATAAGTCAACAGATTAGATTGGTTCCGAATAAGATTCCCCTTGTTTAAATTAAAAAAGAAAGATTAAATGTTTATCCGTTAAATAAGTAAAAATCAAAGCTCAGATTAGGCTCGAAAAATAAGGAATGTAAAATCTTAAAAGAGAAAATAAATTAAAATATTTCAAAAAATCACAGGAAAAAACTAAGTATTATTGGCTAAATTGTAACGAAAAGGTTTTAAATTTAAATCGTTTCCAAAATTAATTTCAGCTGAACATGAAAGCAGTCCAATAAATGGACATAAAACATCGTCCTTCTTATCCAATAAAATCTCTTTACCTAAAGAATTAATTACAGGTTAAGGGAAACTTAAGGAAAGTAGGGAAACTATGTATTTAAATTTTTATAATCCGACACATTTTAATTAATCCCCTTTTTATCAAAGCGTGGAAAAACTGTGGACTTACTAGGAAAAATAAAGTTGCTCCTATCTAAACCAAAATGTTAACAAGGAGAACTCACGAACTGTCAGTCAAAGCCTAGCTTAGCAAAAGCTTAGCCAAAGTCCTAACCAAAAAAGCAGGAAATTTACAAGAGTAAATCGATGATGCTCTATCGATTGGTACCAAAAAAATGCAAAGTTTTGACTGACAGTTCTTGAGTTCTCCTTGTAAGTAAAATTTCTTGATTTTTTAAAAACATACCAATTTTACTCCCATTTTTAGTAAAAAATACATAAGGCTCCGTTACATGATTACTCCTAGCAGGATAAACAATTCCATATCCAAAAACGTCCCCATCTTTCCATGAAAATTTTTGAAAATCTTGCCAATTAATTGTTGCATCATTGCACAAAAATATATTTGTACTTGTACTAGTTATGTGATTAACTGTATGGATATTTGCGGTTGTGTTGTAAAGACCAATTCCTGCATAACAACTAAAAATTTAAAAAATAAAATCCGTAGAGGAAAAAGGCTACATTTTTCTCTAAAAGTTTTTCTCGATTTGGAAAGAAAAGGTTACCCTGATTTTCCCTCTAGCTTGTGATTTAATCAATGATTTAATTTTAATTTTTCTATAAATCCTTACATATTAGTCTCTTCTTTAATCATTGTAAGTTCAAAATAATATAAAGAATATCCTTTACCATAACAGCAACCTTTGGAAAATGAGTTTTGTGCAAATAATCTAATCCATTTATTTTCCTCTTAATTTATTAAAAAAAATTTCTTTTAATTTAAATAAAAGGGAAGATAAATTAATTTTTGGTTCCAGAGTCATTTTTTGGTTCCAGAGAGTTTTCCTCTTCGAAAACAAAAAAAATTCTCGACTAGAATTTAATTTTTGGTAATTTAAAAAATCCAAAATTTATTGAAAGAACTTTTTTCAATAACCAAAAACTTCTTTCTTTTATTTCTAACCTGTATTTTCTCTATTAAAATATCCTCCCATTATTTTCAAAATATTATTAAACAAACTTCTTTTATTATTTGTCAAATAATATTTAATTTTTGTACAGCAATTATTAGCATCAAAAACACAAACAAATCCATTTTTTGAATTACAAAAACCATTTGATATATTTGAATTTATACATTTGTTTTCACAGCAAGTATATTCACAATCAATTCTGTTAATTCTATTTTTGATTTTTACAAAACGCTAAAAAGAATTTTCTTTAATTAAATTATTTTAAATCAAACCATTTTAATGTCATTTTGTTCTTGTAATAATTCAGAATTTGTTTCTAATTTATAAAAATAAATTTTTTACAAATTTTATTAATTAAAATGGGAGAAAATAAATGTATTTTTGACAAAAAGATTTTCTATCGAAAATTTTTCCCTGAAAATTTTAATTTATTGGAAAAGCTTTTTGGAACCTTTAAAAATTGAAAGAGATTTTTTTCTAAAAAATCTCTCGCCATTTATCCCATAAATATTTATAAAATTTTAAAAATTACAATGTCAACTTGTCCTCCAAAATCTTTGAATTTCTCATCAGTTTGTTCATTAACATTTTTGGAATTTTTATTAATTTGTTTTTGAAGTTGATTTATTTTATTGTTTGACTAAAAAAATTAAATAAAAAATTAATTATTTTAAAAATAAATAAATACAATATTTAATTCTTCTTTTAATTTTCGATTTATTCTATTCAAATTTGAAATATTTATACCCATTGATTTACTTCTAACTTGTTGTTTATCATATAAATCAGATATTCGTTCATTTTCAGATTTATAATGATTGGCATCATTTTGAACTTTCTAAAAAAATAATTGATTGAAATATAGAAAAGGGAGAAAGGATTTTAGAAAAACTCCAGAGAAAGCTACAAATCTGTTTTGTAAACAACAATTTCTCGTCAAAAATAATTTTTATGGAAGTAATTTTTAGGGGCTTTAAAAAAATCATCTTAAACTATGTTTAATTAAATGATGATGTTTCCTAGTCAAAGCTGGAAATTTTTGCAAAAAATCAACACTCAATAGGAAATTTGTTATTTTTAACAATTAAGGGTAAAATCTTATTAAAGAAATTAATAAAAGCCAACAAATTTTTTGAGTCAAAAAAATTTACAAAAAAGAAAATCCTCTTCTCTCGTAATAATAAAAAAACTAACTTCAATATCTTTTTCAAATTGTTGTTTAATTTGTGTTCTTTCAAGTTCAAGTAAAGATACTAAATTTTTAGAAGCTACCAATTCATTTGTTAATTTTTGATATTCTTCTGTTATTTTAGTCAATTCATTGTTATTTATTTCTTCTTTTCTTTTCAACTTTTTATTTTCAATTTTTAAAGTTTCCAACTCTTCTTTAATTTTCTGATCATTCAAAACATTATTTTCTTCTTTTTGTTGTTTAATTCCAGAATTGTTTAATTTATTTTCTTTATTAGAAGATAAAGACATTTTTTGAAAATTAAGGTTTTGCTCTAAAATAAGTTGCTAAAAATAAAAAAAATAAAATTTTTAACAATTAGGTAGATATTTAAAAGCTTTTAAAAAATATAAAATAATTACACACCAGGGATCTAGACGACCCGATTCCCGAAAATCGGGAATAATTTTCGTGTCGGCTAGATCCTTGTTATCCACCCAAGAGAACAAACTTTTTAAATGAATCAAAAATATCTTAAAGATTGTTAATATACCTGATCAGATGTCTTTTGATCCAATAATTTAATTTTTTCCTTCATTTGTTGAATGAAAGGATGATTTTCTAAATCATCGAAAGTAACAAATTCTTTGGACGAAAAAGTAGAAGATGGATGTTGTGATAGATTTTGCTAAAAAATAAAATTTATGAACGTTAAAATATTGAAAAGAAGGACAAAGTTACTTTTGTTAGTTCTAAAGAGTGTTTAAAATTTATTTGCACGGAAAAGATTCGAACCTTCACCGTCAATAAATACAAACCAAAAATTACCCCACTACACCAAAGTTTTCTTTATAACAATTTACCTCATTAAATTTTTCCAGTAGCTGTTCAAAAGCTTTACTCATTTTGTCTTTTTCAATCTATAAACAAAAAAAAAATAAAATTTTATTTTTATAAAACAAAAAACTTCCAATTTTTGAATACGTTCATTAAAACTTTCCTTCTGTGATTCCAAAGAAATACACGAATCGCTAATAGACCAATTTGTGTGAACATTTTCGTTTGTTTTAAGTAAAGAATTAATTTCTGAAAAAGTTTTTTTGGGGGAAAAATTAAGAAAAAAAAGCCAACCTTCTTTAGAACTATTTGAAGAAATATAAACATTTTTTGTTTTCTTTTTTTGTTGGCATTGCCAAGTTAAATGACCGAAATTTCCACATTTTGTACAAGCACCAGAAGTAAATTGAAAATTATTTGTTTGTTGAATTTCTTTCTTTAAATCTTTAAAATTAAATTTAATTTTTAAAAAAATTAAAGAAAAATAACCATTTTGTTCTTCCGTTGATATATTAGAGGAACTTTGTAGACTAGAATTCGAATCTATACCTCTTGGCCATCTTCTAACATTTTCAAGTGGAACTAAATTGGCATTAGGCATAATTATTTTTTTAAACTAAAAATAAAAAAGAAATTTATTTTCTTTCCTCAAAATTCTTTCCCCATTTTGAAACAATGACAATTAAGAGAATAAATTGTATTCCTTCCTATACAAAAATGATTGAAAGGTAATAAAGCCATAAAAATTATATTTGGAAAAAAAACTAGTCACTCACCGAAACACACCATAAATATAAAAAAAAATTCAATCAATTTATATAAATTTAACTAAAAGAACAAAGAAGAAAAAAATTAAAAATGATTTACCTAATTCGAAATTTAAAATTAATTTAAATTCATTTTATAGTCAAAATGTTTTTATCATTTTTCTCTAACCGTATCTTTTTTAAATAACACTCTCTCTCTCTCTCACGCCATAATCTTTTTTATTTCGCATTGTCTCTAATTTGCTAATAAACTTTTCTCACAACATCCGGTTTCTTTACACCCCCAAAAAATTAAAAAAAAATTTTTTGGTGATTAATTTTTTGTTTTTTAGATATTTTTTTGACAATTTTTAACCTTTAAAATTATGGAAAATGATGCTGATGGAATTATTTTGACATTTGTATTTTTTTTAGTTTAATTTTTTTAATTTAAATTTTAGATTAATCTTTTGACGGCACAATTACAAATTGAAGAAATTTTTTCTTTTGATGAAGTTCGGTATTTGTTGCCAATCCTTATTAAAATGATGTAATAATTATTTTTTAAATATTTTTATTTGGAAAATATTGGGGAAAAATAATTTTATTTAATTTTAGTAATTTATTTTAGTAACCCCTCCTCTCCCTATTATAATCCCCTAAAATAAAAAATATTTAGTTTTTCATACTCAATTTAATTTTTAAAATTTTCTCAATATTTTTTTTCATTTTTTAGCCAAACTGGTGAATTAACATTTAAAAGTGATTTTGACTTTAAATTTAAAGATGCTTTTGAATTTATTAAAAAGGATATGGGAGAAAAGTCTGTGGAACTTTTGAAGCCTGAAAATGCGGATAATGGAGATAAACAGGAAATTGCTAATGTTTAATTAGTTTTTAAAATTTTTAATTTTAATATTTTTTAGATAATATTTGCTCTTTTGTTTATTTTATATAAAAATCAAAAGGCAAAATTTGATTATTTATGTGGAAAATTGGATGAGAGGAATTCTGCTGAAATTTTACAATTGGTAATAATTTTGATTTTTTTTTAAATTATTTTCTAAAGTAAGTATCCGCAAGTTATCCGAAGTTTAATCTGTATTTTTCTGTAAAAGAAGAATACAGATTAATCAGAATTTTTCTGCAGAAGACCCTTATTTTTTATATTAATTTTGAGGTATAATATAATAATAAAAATAATACAAAGAGAATAGTCTCCCCAAATTCAGCCTTTATTTATTTTATCCGCAACTTTTTTGCGGACAAAATTTCTTTATTTTAATTTTTTCTTATTTTATCTCGACTGTAAAATATCTTTTTTTAGTTAAAACGTTTGGATAATTATGATCGTCTTTCCCCTATACCCTTTACTTCCATTTTAAATAATTCTTCAAATAATTTATTTTCTTCAAATAATTCAAATTTCCAAATATTTTCCTCACAAAATCAAAAAGATAAATTAGAAGAAATATCTAAATATAAAATAAAATCGGCAGAATTGGAAGCTAAATATAATCAGATTGAATCAATTAATTTTAAATTAAATGAACAACTTGGAAATGCTCAAAATGAATTTATTGACTTGGAAAATAAATATGAGAATTTAAAACAGGCTGATAATGAAAAGGTTTGTATCTGGATTTAAAAATCAATTTTATGTTATCTTATGGTGTACTGGTTAGCGATTTAGGTTAGTACATATTGTTTTCTTCCAGGTTCGAATCCTTATGGCTTCTAATTCTTTTCATAGTATTTTTTCTTAAATTAAATTATTTTTTGAATATTTTTAAATCGTTTAAAAATTTTTTTCTTTTAAAGTTATTTTTTCTGATATTTTTTTCGCCTCAAAATTATCATATAAACCTTTTTTATCATTTTTCACCTAAATAACTTTCCATTATTTTTTTAGCAAGGATCTCTAGAACTTTTAAATATCCAATTAAGAGAAATTACGGATGAATTAGAGACTTGTCGTTATAATAATTCTCAATTACAAAGAGAGTTAAAATCTTTAAATGAAAGACATTCCCGTGCCTTTCAAAAATCAGCAAATGATCTAAAATCGAAGGAAGATGAAGTTAAATTACTTTATATTAGGTTTCTTTTTAAATTAATTTAAAACGAAAATTATTATTTTTTATTAAAGATTAGATGCTCTAGTTAAACAAATAACTGAAAAAGATTCTTCTGAAAATAAATTAAAATTTATGGAACAGCAAATAGCTAATCAACAGGGGACAATTGGGGAATTAAGAAGTGGTCTGGAACAAGCTTTGGATAGAGCTAATTTTGTAAAATAAATTTTTAATCCTCTAAAATTTTTTTGAGAGAATGCGGCTAAATTTTTTTGACAATTTTTTAAAAATATTTGAATTCCCTAATAAATTAAAAATCTAATAATTTTTTAGGCAGAAACAGAGTTAATTAAATATAAACGTATACACAACAATAATATAAACATACAAAACAACACTAATTCTAATACTGGTTTTTATTTTTTGTTAATTATATTTTATTTTTTTAGATTCAGATAATTCTATTTCTCTTCATGATGATTTAAATTCTTGTAAAATTACAGAAAATCATAGGTTTTTTAGAATTTCTTTTTGTTAAAATTATTTGAAGGGAGGGTGGGGGGGGGGGTATTTAAATTATTTTTGATTTTATTGGCTAGCCAATAAAATCCTTTTAACTAAATTAATTTTTTGTTTTTTAATTTACATTTTCGAGTATATTTGTAATGAAATTAACAAATTTTTTCCGCAAACTTTGGGCAATTAAAAATATATCTAAAAAATTAATTTTGAATGACTTTTCAACTCTATTACATATGTACCTCTCTCAAACATTTACCCACTACAAATATTTACCCCCATAATCTCAAATACTTATTTATCTCATAATTCTCAATTACAAAGAGAATTAAAATCTTTAATCGAAAGACATTAGTTATCTCCTCCAAAAATGATTAAAATAATTTTTAATAATTTTTTATTTAAATAATTCCTTTTCTAGCAATTTAAACGATTCATTTGACAACCAAATAGCTTCACAAAGTGACGAATTTGCAAAATTAAAAACTCGTTTAGAATTAATTCAATATGAAAAAAGAGAATTGGAAAATGAGTAAAAATTAAAATAATTTATTTTTTAATTAAAAATAAATTTTTTTACAGAAATAAAGAATTTTGTTTAAAATTTAAAGAATTTTCTAATTCTCAATCAAAAAATATTTTGGAAAAAGCAAAGGAAATTGAAAGATTTAAACAAGAATGTGAATCTAATCAAAATGAATTGAAAAGAATGCAACAAAAAGAAATTAATTTAATTGAAAAAAATAAATTAATTGAAGGTTTTTTATTTAATTTTAAAAAGGGGAAGTGAATAAAATTATTTTGGGGGAGAAAAGTCTTTTTTTGGAGGGGGGGTGGGGCTGAAGAAAATTACTTTAAATAAATTCCTATTTGTATTTTATATTTTTAGAGATTTTATTTAAAAATATATTTAAAAGGGAGGTCATTTCCTTTTTAAATTTTTTATCTTTTAAAAGATTAAAATTGACCTCCTTTTTCTACAAAAAAATTCTAAATTTTTAAAAATATTTTTCTAATTTCTTTCATTATTTACCTCAAAATTATTTTTTTTAATTTTTCTTTTTAATTTTCAGAAGAGAATAGTCAACTCAAAACTTCAATTAAAAAATTGGAGGATTCAATAGACAAAGCAGCCCAAGTAATTTCCGAATATTCCAATTCTTATTTAGACCAACAACAACAATTTTCTGCTGTCGATTATTTACAATTAAAACATGAAATAAATAAATTACAAACAGAAAATGAAAGATTATTGTCTAAAATGGATCAGTTGAGACATGAAGCTACACAAGAACAAAGATTAATTACACAACATTGGTATCAATCTGTAAGAGAATTTTTTGTAATAAAGATTATTTTCTATTTAAATTCCGGAGAGTTGAATAATTTTATACAAAAAATAAAATCCTTAACAAATTTATGAATTAAAAAAATATTTTCTTTAAAAAATATTTTATGTAAATGTGGGAAAGAGAGAAACAACGATTAGGACCAAAAATACGTTAACTGATTTTTTTATTTTTCAATAGGAGTAAAATAATGAAAAAAGGAGGAGGAAGGATTTTAGTATTTAAAAAATTAACCATTTTTCTGTCAAAGATTAATAAAAATAATTTTCAAACACTTAATCATTATTTTTTTATTTTCCTTTTTTTAGCAACTTGATTTACTCAAAGCAAGACATTATTTTGGTGCAAGTTCATCAATTTCAAGTAGTATGCGTTCTTCATTAATTGACAATAATAATTGTAGTAATAGATGTTCAACACCAAATAATCAACAACAACAACAATTACCTTCAGAGGAAATTAAAAATTCTTCTTTATCTAATACACAAAAAAGTTTTTTTCGTCGAACAGATTTAAATAATACAACAAATTTTAATTCATTTCCCCCACACAGATAATTAAAAATTTTATTTAATGATTCTTTTCAATTAAAGATAATTCTTTTGTGATCTCTTTGAGTGAGAAAAGATCACTATTTATATTCCCAACTTTTAATAATTATTTGCCTTATTTTCTGTTTCATTTAAAAGTTTAGAGAAGATTATTTTTCTTTTTTCTGTTCCCAGAAAAAGCCTTTAAATCAAAGGTTTCTTAAAAATTCCCCTTTCAATTGTTGTATTTTATTGGATTCCATCTGACTTTTTTTTTATTTCCTTTAAATTACTTATATTTAAAATGACGTGAGATTTTTTATAAAATTAAAAATCTTAAAATTAATTATTTCTTAGTGATATTTCTGGCTATTAAAATTGAATTTTTTGCTTAAGTTTAGAAAGGGGAAATTAATGGAGAAAAAAGGTACATGTACAAAATTCAATTTTTTCCTTTCAGCCTTAACAATAATCCGAATAATTTAAAAGATTCTATTTTAAATATTTCATTTATATTTAAATATATCAAAATTATTTAAAATTTTGTTTTGTAATAAAAATTTTGCATTTAATGGGGTTATTAATTATTAAATTCAGATACTGTCTTATTAAAAATTTTAATAAGCTATGTAAGGCTTTAACAAAAACCAATGGCAATAATTATAATGAAGGGGTGGGATATTGTTTTTTTTAATTTTTAATTCAACCGAAGTTAAAAATTATGTAATGCTTAAATGTATTAGAATTTCACAAAATATTTAAATATTTTTAGCAAAATAAATTTATTTAATTTTTTAAAATACATTTCACGAATAAAAATTAACTCTCGAACATTTCTTTGAACAAATTTTTTAAAAGACAGTCAGCATCGAACACAGAATTTTCTAAAAACAAATATTTTTTAATTAAAAAGATGAAATATTTACCTCCACAAACATTCCCTTCTTCTCCTTTCCTCACTTCTTTCCAGATTTTTTAATTCCACCCCCAATCAAACCCTTCTTATCTTTTGCTTTCTCTGCCATTTCTTTAATTTTCTTTTGTTGTTCAAGTTGTTCTTGTTTAAATTTTATATCGTCTTCAGTAAGCTGTTTCTCATCTGCTTTAGGTTTCTTTAACGGTTTTTGTTTTCCTCCTTGACGGCTAGACATTTTTATTTTTAGCTTCTTAAATTGCTTGAAAAATTAATTAAAATATAAAAATTAAAAAGATAAATTTAGAAGGTAAATAACCCTCAAAAATATAAACAAAAATTTAAAATGATTAAGTATATATTGCATTAAATTATCACACAATTTTTGTATTTAAAGTTTATATATTAAATTTACAAAATTTTTCGGTGGGGATGTCTGTACATGTTTTCTTCCTTATTCTAAAATTCTTAATAAGGATGTTTTGCACAAAATATTATTTGGGGTATCTGCCCATCTTCTACACTTGTTCCATTATTACTTCCAGGTGCATATTGAAAATGCCAATTAATGTCAGAACGTCCAGGTCTTTCCAATTTAATTTTTCTTAATCCTTTTGATCCATAATGTGATTCATGTCCCTTTAAATTAAAAAATTGTTTTGGAAGACATTTTGTGTTTATTAAAAAATTTTTCTAAAAATTTAATTCAAAAAACCCTTACAGATAAATTAGCAGAGGCAACATAAGTAACATTAGCCAATACTTCTACAGGTTCATCAAACATTACACGAAATGTTGAAGCACTTCCATCAGAAACAAATTGACATTCATTTGTTGCAATTAATTTCCCAATTGTAAAATTTATAATCTTTAAAAATGGGAGACAAATTTTGAATTTGCATGTTTTGATTTCTTGTTTTTGACCTTACTTTATTGGACTATTTAAATTCTTCCTTATTTTTTTGTCCTCACAATTTTTTTTAAAAAATTACACACAAATTTCTCTTTAAATAATTTAATTATAACCTACCTCTATAACAACCGAATATTTACACGAATCCCTATTTGAGCCATACAAACCAAAACCCAAAACAAGTATTGGAGTATCTACCATAAATCTAAAAAATTAATTTAATTTTTCTTAAATTTTCTAAAAATTCTTACTTTACTCTGTCGGGCGTCCCCGTATATCCCCAAGAAGATTCAACTCTTTGAAAACGATTAACAAACATTTCAGGTGTATATAGACCTCTATAGCAAAGAGAATATGGAAGGGAAGAAGATTGTTGTCCATTTTCAGAATGATAAAATACAAAAATATTAACCATTTCTTCTGATGTTAAAAGTTTTGTTGGTGCTTAATAAAAGAAAAAAATGATTTTAGAAATTATGAAATTAAAAATTCTTCGAGCAAGAATTCAGATATGTGACAATTTCGCAAAAATAAAAACCCATTTCGGAAAATTTTTGGGTAAGAATTTACTATTAACATTCTAAAAAAACTATAATTTCTTATCACTAACCAACATGTTTAGCAAAATCTGAAGGATTCATTAACGGAAATCTAATTAAATTAAGAGCACTTCCCAATACTTTTCTTTGATTTTCAGGTGATGGATGTAAATCTTCGACTCGACAAGCTTCAATAGCCCAACGTTTGACCTTTAAAAAATTTCTTTTCCAATTTTAAAAGAATTCCCAAAACTCACAGCATTAAATAAAGTCAATTCTTTAACTCTTAAAGTATTCCTTTTTAAAACCAAACAAAGAGTTTCATGGTCAATATTTACAAATTCATCAGCTTTTAATGCTTCCTGGGCATCTTCATCAATTATTTCCAAACATTGCTTTGCTAGACGCTTAAAAATTACGTATTAATTATTGTAAACTTGAGTTTAACTATAAAAAGTAGAACTATTTGAGTTTACACTTAAATCGGAATATTGGGGAATAGGTCTTTATTCTTCAATAAACTTTTAAAAAACAAAAAATTAACCTCCTCGTCATAAAAACGTGCTTTCGCCAATAACATAAAAGCATTCTCGCAAGTTAAACAAGTTTCCAAAAAGGAAATACAAGCACTTTCGAGACCAGGAATGGCATACTTTTTAGCTAAAATATTTTCTTAATTTTCAGTTCCTTCCAAAACAATTAAAACCTGTATATAAAATAGACATAACCGAATCTTTATTGATTGTTGTTTGTGTATTGTCTGTATAAAGATAAGTCAATAAAGCTTCGAATGACTCTTTTTCAACATCAACAAGTTCAATCTCCTTTAAAAATAAAAAAGAATAATTCATTGAAAATATTTCAAAAAACTTGAAAAGTATTGGAACGACCCAAAGAATTATTTGTAGTCTCATCAAACCGAAACATTGCTTCAAAAACAGAAGAACCGATAGACAAAACAAATTTATGTGCAGGAACTCTCTGAAAATATTTATAAAGACATTTCCAAAAATATTTAGTTAAAAAGCATTTTTCAACTACAACACTTAAAACTATTAAGTTCAAAAATAATTGTAGTTTAAGACCGGCCCAGTCTACGATAATTTGTAAATTTGAAAACGATCATAAAATTTATTAGTATTTTTTAATTTCAAAATATTTTGAAGGTTATTTAATATTAAAATATTTAATATCTATTAAAAACCTGTAAAGTTCCATCCAAATTTCGAAAAAGAAAGAAAACATCTGCCAAAGTTCCATTTAAAAGCATATAGGAAAGACGATCTCTGACTGTTTGAAAGGATGCTTGCCAACCAACTGTTCCACCAGATGCATTTTGGCATGAAATTGTTTTATCGTTCCCTAAATATTTAAACATTTGTAATTGAATCAAATATAAAAAATAAAACTTTTAAATTAATTTTATATTTTAATTCAAAATTAAGTTTATACCTTTATCCACAGCTCCAAATCCAAAAGAATTTTTTGGACATAATTGCTTTCGATCTTTTTCACCTTTATTTGCTTGTCTATTATTCACACGTTTTGTATTAAGCATCTGTTGATTTCCATCGTTTAATGTAGCCGAATTTGTAGAAAATTCAACAGATCCACGGGAATCTGCTAGAAAATTTAAATTTTATTTGTAATACACGAAGTCCTTGACATTAAAAGAAACGAATGTAAAACCCCAAAAATATTATAATTTTTAATTTAACGGTCTAAACAAACATTTTGTAATCCTGTAGAAATCCCTGCTCCTATCACTCTTGTCAAAGGATATGCCACTCCTAAAATTAAAAAAAAAGTCAACACCTCAAAATTTTATAAAGTATCCAAAACATCCCCACAAACCTTCTTTCTAAAGTCAAATCGTCCATTGAACTAGCCCTAATTTCACAATTTAAGTCAAATCCTTGTTTTGGCATTTTTTTCTTTTAAAATAAAATTAAAGTAAAAATAATTTCAAATACTTTAATATATTAAAAAAATATTTTTTGACAAAAAATAGAAAAAAGAAAACAAATTTATTCAAAACAAAAAATCTTTAAAAGCAGTTCAATCAAAAAAATACCGGTTACATTTCAAAAACTAAAGTTAAATTGATATCTCTATTTTGCGTTAAGAGAAAAATGGCGAAAAGGCTGCAAAAAATATATGGGAGAGGAAAACATAAGTGAATAAATATTCAAGCTCGTTGTCCTTAAAAGGGATTTTCAATTCTTTTAGATTACAGGAAATTCAACGAAAAGCAAAATTACATTTATGAAAATCCCTAGACTCAGAATTTTACAAACTAAAAATCAGAATTCCAAAAAATATAACGGAATGTTTAATGAGCTAAAATGAGAGATAAGTTGGGAAAGGGTGTTACCTGAAAATGAATAAATTAAATAATAAAAACAAATTTTTAAGTAAAAGCATATAATTTTTAAGTGATTCTTCTTCTCTTCTCTCAACATCAAAAATCTCTTCAAAATTATAACCAAAATTTTAATTCATGGATTTTCAAAAGACAATCTTGAATGTATAGACGATACTTTGCCAACACTTGGTGGTTCATCTATTGTAATTCTATTCATAATGGACGACTCAATACTATGAGGACGAGTACCATACGTTCCAGATGACGAACTTGTTTTAGTATTTTCTCTAAAAATTTAGAAAATTGAAGAAGCTGCCCGAAACAATTAAAATCTAAACGTTAATTTGGAAATTAAAAATTCAGATTAATAATAGAAAAATGACAAGAAATTTTTAAAATAAAAAAAATTACCTCAAAGGGCTAACATTGTAACGTTTTGAAAGATTTTTATTATTGCTTGACCTTTCATCTTTTCTCATTTGTCGTCCACCTTTTTGTTTATTATCAAGAACATAAGATTTTCCATTTATATTATTATAACTATTATTACCATAATTCCGACCAATTAATCTTTTACTAATACTACTACCCCCACGGCTTCGTTTACGTGATGGGGGTCGTGCCCGTCTAAGAGGTGCACGTCTTACAGGAGAATCATATTTTTGCTGATTATTTCCAAAAGAATCATTGTTTACAGAATTGGGCAATACAGGATTTAATGGTTGTATTGCATCGGGACTAACTGAAAAAATTAATTTAAATCAAGACTGATTTGAATAATTTTATAGAAAATTTGTTATCTTATACAACCAAATCTCTCTGTGTATTATACGGAAAAAATAAGGTGTATAATTTTAAAGATAACTTGGTTTATTAAATGGAGGAGCAGCAATTAAGAGCAACAATCTTGCTCTTAAAACAAGAATCTCCTAAACTCCATCCAAAAATGAAAAATAGATCTTACTTTGTGGTGGCGGTCCATTCAATACAGCAGGTGGCGGTGCCCATCCTTGAGCACCAAAAATAGGTCCATTATCAACATAACTAAATAATTCTCCTGGCTCCGGATCCATATTAAACTGTTCATTTTCAAGATAAACTTTTCGATCTTGCATATAATTTTGGCCAAAGTAAGATGAGGATGAAGCATTTTGATCCTCTCCTGACAAAAAAATTTATTAATAATGCGAAATAAATATTGAGACAATTAAGGCTCGAGAGTAATAAATATATTTACGAAATTCTTACTGTTAGAGCAGAGAACAGAAAAGTGAATAAACTGGAAGGACAAAGGATAAAAAATAAAAAAGAACAAGAATATAATGAAAAGGAAATCTAAAAAGCCCCACGAAATTTACTGAAGGAAAGAAACTCCCGAATTTAAAATAAGCCTCAAATGTCTTCAACGATTATACATAAACCTCCTCAAACTTTCCCTACTAAATTTCTCCACAGCCTCTCGACGTTCACGTTTAAAATCTGGCGATATAGCAGATCCAGGTCTATTATAGTCTCTATCAAAATTTCTAGCTCTGCTTCGTCCTCTTACTAAATTTAGGTCATGAATGAAAGTGCACTTGTCTCTAAAATTAAAAAAATTTCCAAATTTGTCTAAAAACCCAACCCTTTCCAACAATTTCCACTGGCATTGAAATACATGCATTGGACAGTAAATGCTACAAAAATATTTATATTAAAATAATATAAGTTTAACCTTTAGAAACTGAACGAGGAATTGATTGAAGAGAGCTTTCTGCTTCTTTAACAACTAAAATTAAGTTTAAAAAAGTTTTATTAAAAGATTGCTTGAATGAAATTGGAGAGGTTTCTCAATAATTTTCAAGAAAATGATACAAATTTTAATAGTCTTGGGCCCCTTCCCTTTCATTTCCACTTACATTCATCTCGTCCTTCATCTCCTCCTCTCTGCTGTTCTCCACCACAATCAATTTGTTGAGACTGAAAGTTTTGATTATTCTGAGAATTAAATCCCTCTTGGTTTAATTGTCCAAAATTATCATTATTTTGATCGAAATTTTGTCCAAAATTATTTTCTTGTTGAACTTGTTTATCCTCTAATTGCAACTTTTCCACTTGTATTTGCTCTTTCAATTCATTCAACATCAAATAAAAATTCTTTTCCTCTTCCTGCAAATTTTCCAAACGTTGACGACATTCTTTTTCACTTTTTTTCAGTTCATCCACAGATTTTTTGTATTTTTGTTTTTCTGTTTTTAAATTTTCAATTTCAGAATTTGTTTTGTCTTTTGTCGAATTTAATTTATTCATTCCATCCAACTCAATATCTAATTCATTTTTATAAACCTCCATTTGATGTTGCATACCTTTTTGTTTCTTTTCCAGCTTTTCCAAATCCTTGTTCAATTTGTCAATTTCTTTAGTCTAAAAATAATTTAAGAATATTTTTTGTTATTATAATAAATTTGAAAGAAATGTCTAATTCATTAATGTCATGATTTTATTCAAGCCTTCTCCGCATATCGGCTACGTGCCTAATTAAATTTCTTCGAAGGACAGAACAAAATTAAAAATATTTCAAAACCTTTTTAGTCATCTTCTCATTTAAAGACTTAATCTCGGCATCCAAATCCTTTTTGCCCCTTTCCAATTGTATAATGTCACTAATTAAACGTTTTTTCTCTTCTCTAGCCAATTCAACATCTTTTGCCTGTTTATCCAAAATTCGTTGTCCATCTTTTGTTGCTTCCAATTTTTCTTTCAAATCTTTTTCAGCTTGTTCTAAATCAATTAAAGCTGTTTTCTTTTGTTTATTCGCCTTAAGTAAATCTCTTTCAGTTTTCATTAGAAGATCCATCTTCTCAGAATATTGCTTATCAACATCGGCAAGATTCTTAATTTTATCCAGAGGAAGTTTCTGGTATTTAGAACTACTTGACCTAAAATAAAAATTAACAGTCAATTGAGGATGTTTTATAAAAAACCTGGGATCTTCAGTATGTTCTACCAGATCAGTAGAATTCAAAAAATTGGCAGTATACTTTGCCCCGTCAGTTGCTTGTCCATCCGTTACAACACTAACTTCCAATCCAAAACGAGTAGAGAATACGGTGACATTACGTAATTTGAGGTTTTTCTGAAAGAATTAAAATTTGAATAAAAGATAATTTTTCGGTATTCCCCAAAACATTAAACAAATTAAAAAATTACACAACAAACCTTTAAATATTCTGCAGGCATAAATTTCTCCTGTGCAATTTTAACCATCTTTCCAATAGTTTCTCTCTCAGTCATTAAACAAATTTCTTGCCATAATTCCTTCCCAGTTTCATCAGCAAGTATCTTCAAAGTCACAAGAACTTCAAATGATCCAAGTTCAGAACATTCACTTTTGATCGATTTTGTTGGCGTTAACATTTGTTCAGAATAAATATTCAATTAAATATTTTACCTTTTTTTCTGGGAATAAGTTATATTTTATTTTTAAAAAAATGTTTAATTATAAAATCGAGGCAATAAAAAATCAGAAAAATTTTACAATGGGGATAGTAAAAAAGGATACGAGTAAAACGGGCAAAGGGAATTTGGCTAACTGTGGCGCGGGCGCAACCACTGCCATATTGAGGGCATACGGGGAAAAGGGGTACGGCCCAAGTAGGCGCGCGGCCAAGTAGGCGCAAAGCCATAACTTGCTTCAAGATTTCCGAATCTTTCAAAATTTAGTATTAAACGATTCCTCTCGTCGAGCTAAAGAGATTGGTACCAAAATTGATAAGGGTCAGAAATTTTCTAGCAAGTTATGGCTTTGCGCCTACTTGGCCGCGCGCCTACTTGGGCGTGTCCCGGGGGAAAAGGAATGCCCCCCCCATTTTCACTGTCGGTTTATGGTAAAGTTCAAAGCGAGTTTCGATTTTCGGAAACGAGAAAGGTTAATTCCACAAAAATTAATGATTAACAGTATTCTTACTGTTTATCAAATAACCTTCACAACTTTATTACAGATTCTTAAAAATAAAAGAATATTTTACTTTTAAAACAGATGTTTAAAATTAAAGATAAATAAATTAGATAAAAGAATATTAAATACTTTAATAAAACAAAATAAAAATTTATTTTTGACAAAAATATTTTTATACGTTTTTTTAAAAAGATGGAAATGCCATAGCAAAATGTTGAATAATAAATAAAATAAATGGAATAAATAAATTAGAGAAAGAATTCATCATTTTAGTAAATGAACTTGCAAATTTGTTAAATATAAAATATATGTAAATACCTACTTTTAAAGCAAATTTTCTTCTAAAACTTTTATAAAAAATTATTTTCCTAACAAAAATTTGCCAAAATATTTTTTGGTTGATTAAAGACTAGTGAAGGGGGAAATACATAATTAATATAATAAAAATATTCCTATAAATTTCATTTAATTTAAAGACATTCTTAGAAAGCATTTTATATTTTTATGTAAAATTCAGCCTATTTAAACCTTCAAATTTTCGATTAATTCTGAGGGGTATGTGATAAGTGAAAGATTTTGTGAGCATAAATACTTGAATTTAAACAAAAAATTGAGCAAAAAGATTGAGAACTCCACATAACATAATTAAACAATGTATAGCTATTTGCACATTATTAAGGCGGCCTTGTATTTGTAAACGTTTTAGATGGACGGCACAAGGAAGAATAAACATATAAACTAATCCACAAATTGAACCAACATAACTAATAAATAAAAATAATTATTTTAAATTGGAATTATTAAAAACCGAATAATTGGGCCAACATGTGGATAGACAACAGCAAAAAATAATGCAATAGTTAAAATACCACCATTAATTAAAAGAACATAAAAAAGACTGAAAAAAACTTTTATTAATATAAAATATTGAAGTTTTTAATTGAAAAGATTGAATTAATTTTTTTATTCTTAATATGTGTAATTAAATTTTCTAATTTCAAATTATATATTTAAATTTTTTTAAATTTCCCAGCTAAATTTACATAAAATCCAATCAGTTCAAACGCACTCACTTTAATTTTTTAACAAAGAAAATGGGAAGAAAAAGAAAAAAAAGAATAGGAGAATGTTCCCTTGTGTGAATAAGAAAAATTTGATTTAAGAATTTTGTTTTTAATTTCAACGACATTTTTTCCTAAAATTTTTTTAAAAATATAAAAGACAAACCCTGGATAAACAGTTCCAGCAAAGACATAACTAAACTGTACACGTATTAAATACATAAGTAAAGGAAGAACTGTCAACATTTGGAAGAGTAGAAAAACTCTAGCAATTGCACTAAGCATATCTCCACTTGCAAAATTGTTCAAAAAATTCTTTAAAAGAATTTTTTAATTAAAAAATAAAAAACAAAATTTAAACAAACATCAGAAATACAATTGCGATAAGTTGGAAAAGTGGTAAAAAAGAATAAGCTAATTATTATATAACAACCAGCTGAAAGAAAATAACCAATTAATAAATCACGAGCCTTAAAAATATTTTCAAAAAACAAAGAAAACTTTTTTACATTATTTTCAGGATGTTTTTGATTTCTCAAAATTGTTAAAATAGCGTTATGAATAAAATATGCTAATGCCAAAGTACCAGTTAATGCAGGAAATTTCCAATTAAAAACTGAAAATGAAAATAAAAATTAAAAGGTATTTAGCACATACGTTGTATATAATTCTTTGAAAGATGATTTGTAAAATCTAAATTAAATCCACATTCAGCACTTTTTATCAAAGTAAAACAAATTAAATAAACTACAGAAATTGTTCCAAGACCATTGAAACGCATAAAAAAGCCTGGAGAACGAAAATTCAGTAAAGGGAAGATACAAAATGCCAGTATCAAAGGAACACCACCCTGAAAATGCAAAATTTAAAAATTAGTCTTAAAACTACTAAAAATATGGTTTAAACCGAGGTCAGGAACGGGACGTGTTATCCAAAACCAGACTTTTCAATGAAATCTCACATGAGGGGATTTGCTTGCTTATGGGGGAAAATTTTCGACTGCCAAGGCATTCAACAGACAAATGTGTTTACTGAAATTAAAAAACCTGTAATCTCCAAATCTTCTGAAAATTGCTCTCATTTTCTCCAAAAGATATTTTCGAAAATATACCACTTGGTGAAAGTGAAAGAAAATCGTTTGGAAATGCATTTTCAATTTGTTTAGGGCAATAAACTTTAAAAAATCCAAAAATATTTTTAATAAAATTTTTATAATAGAAATAACCATCACAAGTTTGATTAAATCCAATTGGCAATATTGAACTGTTCTGTTGAAGTGATTCTTGAAAAAGAAAGATTTTATCACAAAGGGTAAACGCGCTAAATTTGGGTTATTTCGTTGCGTCTTGTCTTTTCGTAATATATACGCTCTTGTGCCCATTTGATAAATCGGTTTTAAATTTTACTGACCTTTACATAAGAACCCTAATTTAACTTTTAACATAATCACGGACTCGACAGTAATTACTTTTATACGAAAAAAATATCATAAATACTAAATAGCCAAGAGAATCCATTGAAATTATTTAAAAAATAAACAAAACTAACCATAAATAACATTTCCAGTAAAATAAAGAAAATTTGACATCAAAACAAAGTAAAGAATAACACCGCCAACTAAAACCAAAACAGAAAAGAAAACAGCAAAATATTCCAACCATTTGCCCCATAAAAAACGACAAACATCAGAAAAGTCAGGAGTTGAAGTTTCCAATGCTTAAAAAATATTTTTAATTTTCAATAAAAATTTTAAAATTAACTTAAAGAATTGGGACTTTCAATAATTCTATATGCAGTGTAAAAAGCAATTCCAGCCATTAGTAACATAAGAAATATTCCTAATACAAGACCGGCTTGTTGAAGAGCCCAAGGAACAGCTAACAAACTGAAAATGTGTAGAAATTAAATTTTTTTTGGAAATAGCTATTAAAAGAAATATTGTAATTCTTTAAGTTAAAAAACCGTTAGATATTTTTAAAATTATTTTTTCACAATCTTTTTTAAACAAAATCAGCTTATTTATAGTACCTTGTCCCAACCATTGTATTCCATATCGAAAATATGGTTACCATACTACTTTGTTTTCCATTAGAATCTTTAAATTCGCTGAATGGTAAAACAGAAAAAATAGAAGTCGGAATGACATGAATAGGCATTAACTTAAATTAAGAAAATGATTAGAGAATAATTTTTTTGAATATTTGTTTCGGACCGGTTAAAGGCAAATAGAAAATTATTTCAAACAAAGAATTTTTGGAATTTTCAAGAAAAAAGAACAATTATTTTGTCGGCACTTATCTCTCAAAACTCAATTTAAAATAAAAAGAAAATTCTTACAAGATGAAGACCGCCAGGATCTAATCGATTAAAAAAACGATAACGAATAGCCATATTGTGATCTCGATTCATTACATCTCGTCTATTCTCTACTGGTATTGAGGAAGATAAAAGTGAAGCATTTGAATCACTTTGTGATTGCACAAACAGGTAAGGACGGCGAGGTAAATTAACTAAAACAGAACTTACTAAACATTTTAAGGTAATAGTGTCGTTTCCCAGCCCCCTTTTTTTCCTCCCAATTTTCTACCCTATGTTTGTACGGAATGGTCAAATTTTCCCCTTTCTTTCATCAAATTTGCCTTTCCATATTTTGCCTAAGAACAATCAAAAAAGATTAATTTTTTATTCATTTCTTTCACAAGGATAAAAAAGTGAGACATGATGCCGAAAATTATAAAAAACATTTTCAATATTGCCAAATCGTTTTCGCCACATAAATTCCGGGAGATTTTTGGTTGTACACCGCCAACATCCATATCTTTCGTCTTTCTTAACACTTATTGTTGTTCGACCCCCACATTTGTAGCAAGTTCTCTTTCCATGAAGAAGTCCAAGCTTCTCAAGCCATGCATCGAAATCATTATCACTCAAACGTAATTTTTCATATAAATCAATAGGTTTGAAATTCTTTAGTTCTTCCATTTTTATTAATTGGGAAAATGATTCTTCTCATTACTCTAATACTTATTTAAATATCACAAATTAATCTTTTTTGATTGTTTTTAGGCAAAATATGGAAAGGCAAATTTGATGAAAGAAAGGGGAAAATTTGACCATTCCGTACAAACATAGGGTAGAAAATTGGGAGGAAAAAAAGGGGCTGGGAAACGACACTATTACCCATTTTAATGCTTTTAAAAATATAACCTGAACAATTATGTTCACCTCCCATATTCATTGGTTTTTGCACAACTTGACGATCTTCACTCCTAGTAAGCAACACATTGTCCAAACTTTAAATATCAATTTCCAACTTAATTATTTTAAAAAACCTTCTTGCAAAAGGAACACCTTCTTGTTCATTTTCTGGAAATCCTTCTAAACGAAATTGAGGAACACAGTTTTGATTGATTGTAGTAAATTCACCACTGAAAGAGGCCATAAGCTAGAGGATGTTTAAATTGAAGGTTTTAAAAAAAAAGCCAAATACGTATCAAAATCAAAACATATTATTTATATACTATCAATAAAAATAGTTAAGTTAATGTCTATTCGAAAAGCAAAAAACCTAAAAGGCATCTTTGCCTTTTACTCAGTTTTCTTATCTATTAAAATTCATCATTAATTTTATACCAAAAAACGATATAAACTCGCGAACGCTTTTTTCAATATAAAGATAGATACATGCATACTAAAATTTTTTGCACGAAAAATCGGTGGTTCGTCAGACTTATCAAAAAAATTTTGGTTAAAATTGCAATAGCAATTCAATTAATATGCGTAATTCATATATAATCGTTAAAAATTTCATACTTCAACTTTTTTATGGCTAAATACTTGGAAAAAAACTGGATCAATTAATAGTTACTACGATTGATAAAGAAAAAATCCAAGAATGAACAAGGTTAATTGTTAATGTTCTAGCTAACGAAATATCCAGGAAAAAGAATATATAAAGATTACTAAATATAGGAATAGCTTTGTTAAACATATAAACAAATATCCTTCAAACAGAAAAAAACTTTATCAATTATTTAATGATTTTAACAACAACAATAATAGCAAAAGGCAAACTTCTCTGAAAATTCTTCAAAGAAAATCCTTATTTAAGAACGTGGACGTTCCTTCTTTCCTCGGAAGAGCGCAAGCAAAGAAGTATTTGCTACCTTTACAACCTTGAAACGAACTCCAGGAATGTCACCAACTGCGTGTCCACTTCGACCGAAACCAGAGACAAGAACTTCATCGTTTTCCTAAGAAAATTTTTGTTTAAGAAATTAAAATTTTAAACCTCAATAAAGTTAAGACATCCGTCGTTAGGAACGAAAGCTGTTATCTTCTTACTGTTCTTAATTAATTGAACACGCACACATTTGCGAATAGCTGAGTTAGGTTGTTTTGCCTCAACACCACTAAAAGAATTTTTATATTCGAGCTTTAGGAGGTTAAAAATAACGAAAATTTTGCAACTCACATTTTTTCAAGAACAATACCCTTTGCCATACAAGCACCTCCAAAAGGATCTGCCTTCCAACGTGTACCCAAATTAGTCTTCTTGTAGCGCTTGTCGTTCCAACGTTGCTCCTGACGATGCTTTTTTAGCTTTCTAGCCGTTCGAATACCTTTAGGCTTTCCCATTTTTCGTTATTTAATCTAAAATTAATTTTAATTAATAAAGCAAGTAAATATCAAACAAAAACGAAAAACGAAATTTGTTGACCTTATCATTTGAAAATAAAATGTAAGAGACAATAAGAAATATTTTACTAATTATGACAATTTGGCATTAATGTTAGTTTTACAAAATGTAATATTTACTTTATTTAAATGTCCTTTTGTCAAATTTTAATAAAATCAAAATATCAAATAAGCAAAAATTTTACAATTAGTTAATTAAGGGTTTTGCTGTTTTTCGAAATCTTTTTTTAATTTTTTCTTTAAGATTTTTTTTTTAATTTTTTTGAAGATAATGACTGATGATTCAATTTACAATCGAACCGATGAGGATGCTGTTGTTCTTTTTGATGAAAGTGATATGATTGAAATTAGTCCACAAACAGTAACTGATGAAAATCCTTCTGGTAATTTTTATTTTATTTTTAGGACATAATTTTCTTTAATTTTACAGAAAGATATATTAATGTAGAATTCGAAGATAGTGAAGAGGCTCTAAGACAACGGTTAATCGAAAAAAGATATTGCAAAGAAAAACCGGAAGATCCGAATTTATTTAATAAAAATGAAATGCAAAATCTTATTTGTGAAGTACCAGTTCATTCAAAATCATCAACAAATAAAAGGCAACGTATTGTTTGGGAAAAGAATGATGAGGATAATGCTACTAAAAAGATGTTAATAAAAACTTCAAATTCTAATAGTAGCAGTTCAAGATCTGTGCAAGTTATTCAAGACGAGAAAAGTGCCCGAACACTTCAAATCCAAACAAGTCAAAAAATTGAGGTTTTTATTTATTTTTAATCTACTTCTTGGTATTTAAATGTTGTTTGTTTTTTTGTCTTTCATGGTAACTTATTGTTATCATAAACCTGTATCTTTTAATAAGTTGGTGGGAATTTTGTGAATGTCTACAAGTTTAGGGAAATTTCTTTCTGCTTTACACTATTCTTTTAATATATTTAAAAATCTAGTTTTGTATTTTAAAATTATAGAAACGAGAAAAGTCATCGTCAACAGCTACACGCACTTCTGAGACCTCTGATTTAAGAAAAACAGCAATTACTTCCAATCATAAACAAAAAGAGAGACAAACAGTCGACAAAATAGAAATTTCATCAAAATCGAGTAAAAACGGAAATATTGATCCTTTACATAAACACAAGGAGAGACCCTCTTCCTCTAATGACCATTCACGTCATCATGAGCGCCAACAACGTGAGAAAAAGCTAATTTCAGGTTTAAATAGAGTTGCTTCTGATAAATTTTTGTCTAAACGCGACGAACAAAATTTGAAGACGGCAAGGAAACCAAAAAATTCGGAACAAAAAAAGACACCAAAAGAGCAAAATGAAGAAATCTGTTCTGTTGAAAAAATTTATATAGATAGTGTTAAAAGTCCGGAAACAATTGAAATTACTGACGTTATGAATGAACATGAAGATTTTTCTAAAATTAAAGTTAGAAGTGCTCCCTCTTCTCCTGGAAAATCAAAAAAATATTCAAAATTTGAAAGTAGTTCGGAAAGTGGTGAAGATTATGAAATAGAAGAGGATGGAAATAAAGAAGGGGAACCTAAAGGTTTATTTTACATAATTATCTATGAAAAATATTTAATTTCAAATAATTGAAAAATTTTTAGAATTTTTTTCAACTATTTTTTTTAATTTTAGATCGTTCCATACCCAATAATGAAAATAAGATGGATGATTATGAATTTAATGAAAATGATTTTATGAACAATGTAGATGAACCTGTTGATATTCTTGATGATTTGGAGAACAGGAATTTTGAGGAACTTACGGAGGATGAAAAAGCTGTGGTTTGTTTTTGTTAAATATTAAAGTTATAATTTGATCTTTATTTTTTTAATTTTATTTTTTCTATTGTTTTAATGGGTCTATTGTTTAGTAGCTTTCTAACACTAGTTTAAAAAATTTTGAAAATTTATTTTTTAAGGGTTTTCTTTTATTAAGTTGTCACCAGAAAGATTAAAGCAATTAGAGGAAGCATATCAACGTCGTTTAAGAGCACAACTCCCCGTTTACTATCCAGGAATTTTTGGCTGTAGAAGTGTTGTTGAATATGAGTGTTTAAATAAAATATCTGAAGGAACTTATGGTGTTGTTTATCGTGCGCAAGAGAAGAAAACAGGTTCTGAATCTTTATATCTTAAAATTGAATTAATTTTTCCTAAATATTAGTGGATGTCGTATAAGATCTACCTTTTCGTGAATATTATTTTCAAGATAAAAATTTCTCATCTATTGGGATATAATACGTTATTATTTTTTAATTCAAGATGAAATTGTTGCACTTAAAAGATTAAAAATGGAAAAAGAACACCAAGGATTTCCAATTACTTCACTTCGAGAAATTAACATGTTACTAAAATGTGGAACACATCCAAATGTTTTAAATGTAAGAGAAGTTGTTGTTACCTCTAATGCGGAAAAAATATTTCTTGTAATGGAATATGTTGAACATGATTTGAAATCTTTAATTGAATTGATGAAATCCAGGCAAAAGAAATGGACAATACGTTTGTTTTTTATTGTAAAATTGTTATTAAAATTATTTTTTGTAGCCCAAGTAAAAACTCTTCTACAGCAACTTCTTTCAGGAATTGAACACATGCATGACCGTAAGTTAATTAATATTTAAATTTCAAAAACTGGATTATAATAACAGCTTGGGTCCAAAATAAATGCAACATTCCTTTTGATTAAATAAATTTTTTGGCTTTAGATTTCATATTAGCTAGATTAGTTTTTTTTCTGCCCAACTTATTTACAAAAAATATTTTCAAAATAAAATTTAATTTCTAGAGTATGTCATTCACCGTGATTTAAAAACTTCCAATCTTTTACTTTCACATCGTGGGATTTTGAAGGTAATTTAAAAGTTATTTTTTATTCAAATAAAATATTTCAGATTTGTGATTTCGGTTTAGCCCGTGAATTTGGCGATCCACTTAAGCCGTATACACCAATTGTTGTTACACTTTGGTATAGGTAAATATTTCTTTTAAATTTAAAATTTTATTTTTAAAAATTAAAGGTCACCAGAACTTCTCCTTGGATGCAAAGTAAATTAATTTTTTGTTTAAGATTTAAAAAATATTTTTTAAGCTCTATTCAACACCTGTAGATATGTGGTCTATTGGTTGTATTTTCGGTGAACTTTTAAAAATGGGAACATTATTTGCTGGCAGAACTGAGATTGACCAGATGCAAAAAATTTTTAAAGTTTGTGTTAAAAATAAAATTTTTAATTTCAAAGAAAAAATTTAAAGGAATTGGGAACACCAAATGAACAAATTTGGCCTGGATGTAGTTCTCTACCAGGAATGAGAAATTTAAATTTCCCCGAAACTCCGTTCAGTCAATTACGTCGAAGCTTTTGTTCTGAATTACCTGATGATGATGGATTTAATTTATTAAATAGGTACTTTTTTAAATTATTTTTAGACTGTCAATTAAATTCTCAAACGATATCTGAGGATTTTTTTCGAAAGTTGAATTCTTTCGAATATTTTTTTTATAATTTAAGTTTTTTTCTTCAGTTTATTGTTCATACACAATTAATTAAAAAAATTTGTTTTACAGATTACTTGCATTGGACCCGAGTAAACGTTTTTCTGCCAATGAAGCATTAGAAAACAATTGGTTCAAAAATGATCCTAAACCTGCTCCACCATCTTCTTTTCCAACAGTAAGAATTATTATTATTGTAAAATATTTATCTTTTTCTTTTATTTTACAAAAATTTCTCTTTCCCATAATTAAGGAAAAGATAAAAACGGATGGGAAAGTAGAAATAAAAATATCTTTTCTATTTGATTTCTGAATATTAAAAACAATTTTTAATAAGAAAATTATTACAATCGTAAATTTTTTTAAAAATTTAAACAAAAAATAAAGTCACTTTCATTTTTAAAGCATTTTAATTTTTTTCAATTTTTTAGTGGCCGGCTAAAAGTGAACACAACAAAAAACCTCCAAATGAACCATCTGCACCAAGGAAACCTATCGCTGGATTTACACTTAAATTTGATGCGCCAAAATTTTGATTTTTAGATTTTATTTTAAAAGAATGGCAAAATTAGCCCGTTTATTTATACATTTTTAAAAATAAATTAATTATTTTTTATTGAAAAATTACAAAATTAATTTTTCCTTTTATCGGATTTTTTAAAAATATTCCTTGACTTTTATTTATTGAGACTATATTTAAAGTCGGGTCATGAAAACTTACGTTTTTATTGTTATATGTGCATTAATTTTTTAGCGCGCATATTTTCTTTCTTCAAAAATTTTCTTAGCATTCGCTATGATCTCATCACATTACTCTTTCAGACTTTAATTCTTTCCTATCCTGAAAAAATTTCTTGCGATGACAAAAATTCAGAAATAACGAACACGTAAGATTCAGTTTTGTTTCATTGTTATCTATTGAAAAAAATAGAAGAGGAAGAAATTTCTAACAGATTTCTAGAGTATCTCTTTCAATTTGCTTAAGCATTTAGTTTATGGTGAATTGAATACACTTAAGTACATTATTTATAATCTTTCTTTTTTGAATATTTTATATAGGTTAAACGATGAAAAAGCCCTCCCTCCCTTCACCCTCCATCCCTTCTTTTATACAACTTTACACATTTTCTTCGATTCTCAGCATCATTGATAACAGAAAAATTTATTTAAATATTTTTAATTTTCAGATAAATTATTATGCATAGATTTAATTCTAAACTTAATGAAGAACGTGAAAAACAATATTGGGATTCAATTTTCTACCCTAATCGATTTTTAGAACCTTCAGGACTTTTATCTGCTCATTCAGCATATTTACTAAGAACGGGTAGGCCTTTTGAATTTTATAAAAAATTTTTTCCTTTAAAAATCATTTTTTTCATCCTCCCCGTCATTGTCTGTCTGAGTTAAAAAAATATTTGAAAGTGGAACGAGTTTTTAGAGACTTACCTCTTTTCATGAGGGAATGTTGCTACAACATTACCTCTATTTTTACATTCAGACTTTTAATGACAACTAATCGGCTTTTATTTGTTTGTAAAAAAGTTGATTGACTTGTAGTTGTAAAAAACATTGTGTTGATGAATTTTTTATTTTCTTCTTGTCTGAGTTCCATTTTCGTTTCCTCAATGATTAAATCTTTTTCGATCTTTTTTTGCAGACTATATAAGTATTTTGTTAAAAACTTTCCTTTTTTGATGATTTGTGAGGAAATTTTGTGTTTGTTTGTTTGCTTTTTTTGGCCGATTTTTTGTAAATTCTCAATTATTCTTCTCACTTTATCTTTATTCCTCAATATCCCTCCACCCCTACATAACTAGTCATTCCTTCACTTTTTTACCCATTAATGACATTTTTCTGTTCAACGTCAGCTCTTTCACATTTTATGCAAACACAAGGCATCTTTTTTATTAAAATAAAAATTTTTTTTCATGCGGACTTTCATTAAGTAACGCCTATTTGGCAGCTGCTAAATCGGTATTTCTTTTATTCTTTATAAAATGTTAATTTTTGGTCAATCTAGAAACAAATGTTACTATTTGGATTTTGACATTTTCTTCTAAAATTAATGCTTTTTTCCTTTTGTTATTGAAAATGTTTCTCCTTGCTTTTGTTCCAATCAAAATAAAATAGCAAAATATCAAAAATCAAAGTGAAAACTACGAATAAATAAAAATATAATTTTTTTTTATTTTGACATCATCAAAAATATTTTGAGTAAACTTTAAAAAATATCTATCTACTCTTTAAAATTAATGAAAATTTAATAAAATTTATTGCACTAAAAATACAAAGTAAATAATTTGTCATTAGATAATTCCATACTTTTGCATTTAACTTTAAATACCGTAAATCCTAAATAATGTCCCTCTCTCAAATAATTACCCCCTCCCTTTTTAATTACCCCCTTCAGCGAGAGGTTGAAACAATAATTACCCAGTGTAATTATATTAGCAAATACGTTAAATGAAATGATATAGTGTGTATGTATTCGATTATTGTTGAAATAAACATCAAATATATTTGACTAATATTTTAAAGACTTATCGTCTGTTAGAATGCCAAATAAATGGAATTGATCGGAGTTTAGTTTTTTTCCTCTTAATCTTCGAAGTTTACTTACTCAATATTCTCTATCCATATTACATTGAGAGTTGGAAGGGCCTTGAAAATTGGAGGAATGAAGAGATCTAATGAATTCATCTAAAATAAATTGAGGATTTGTAATAATTGTAGCTATCTAAAACAAAATTTAGTTATAAATGTTTGAATTTGTTTGTTCTAATCTTTCACTATTAAAATTAAAAAAAAAAAACTAAATAATTTTAAAAAGTTTAGTAATTATTAGATTACTTTTTAGTAATTACTTTTACCACAATTTAAATTATGTCAAAAATATATTTTAATTTTGTTAAGTAATTCAAAATATTTTTTGAAAATAAAAATAACCTCAAAATAATTTTAAATAAAAAATTGGCAATTTTTAGAAATAATTTTGTTTATTTTGTATAAAAGTTTTATTTTCTTTCCGAGAATTTTAGATTTATTATAAGGGGTTTATTTAAAGAAAATAATATGTATGTATTTAGTAGATGGAATTTTGTAAGTAAACCCCCTCTCATTTTTTCCTTTTAAATTACAATCTGTGTTGATAATAATTTTTCACAATAATTTTTATTAAAAATAAATTATTAGATTAAAAAAAAGATAAAAATAAAAAAAGTTTATTTAAGAGAATCTCCTTCCATTAAATTCTTTTTTTTATTCAAATGTTAGTTATTTTCTAACAGATTTAATAAAATTTAAATCAGAATTGCCTAATTAATTTCAGAATAAAAATGTGTATCTACATATGTATTTCACATATTTTTCTGTAATTTTTTCCCAGAATTATAATCAGAATATTTTTAAAAATAAAATACAAAATTCTGATTTTTATTTAATCAGAATTCAATTTCTCTCTCATCTTCCTTCCCTCTTTCAATTAAAATGTCAAAATTGTTAAATAATTATCGGCTGGTAGTAAAGTATGTAGATGGCTGGAAGAAGAAGAAACAAAAATTGGAAAATTATTTTTATATATTGATTTTTTGCATATTTTCCCTTTTTTTTGATTCACTCATTTATTTTTTCTTTTTTTTTCCACAAAATGCCGCCGCTACTTTTACTTTAAAAAATATTTATTTATACCTAGTATTTTACTATTTTAATTCTTAGCTTTTATAAATTTTTGTGTTTTATTTTCTTTTTTGTTGACATCTAAATAAAGTAAGTAGCTTTTAAAAATGAAACAAAGCAAAAAAACAAAATTGTGTAATGTTCTCGAGTAAAACACAAAAAAACTTTTTTGTAAAAAATAAAAAAAAATATTCTTTTTTTTATTTAAATTACTAATTAAAATAATATTAAAAAAGATTTATGTATGTGGAAAATTAACAAAATATTAATGTATTGTAGCGGCAATATGTTTAGAACAGAGGTGTTCGAAACAAAAAAATCTTCGAAAATCGAAAGAAATCCAAAAATATCGAAAGAAAAATAACCTCGAAAAACGAAAATCGAAAAAAAAATTTTTAATAAAAAATTGAAAAATAAATTTTTGTTATGTTAGGGTTCAGTTGGAATTTTTGCTTGAATTTTAAGGAATTGAGGAACTCCAAGGAAACTTTAGAAACACTAAATAATGTTGTTCAAAAATTTTTTTAAACAAAATTGCTAATTTATATTTTATATTTAGTAATTTTAAGTTTTAATTTTTATCAAAAAGCTACATATTTTTTACCTAATTATTTTTGAAAATGTTGCACATACTTACAAAATAACAAAATAAAACGTCTCGAAACTTTTATTTAATTAAATTAAAATTTTAAAATTTTTATATATTTTTGTTTATTTTTGATTTCAAAAATAATTTTTTTTGAATTTATTTTTTAAAAAATATTTATTTATCCTCCTTGTTTTTGCAATTTCTAATCCTTTCTGAGAAAAACCCCTCCTTATTCCCCTTCTGTCTTTTTTTTTAAATTAAATATTTCTCAATAAATTAAATAATTTAAAATATGTACTATATATAAATATACATACTAGTTTTTAAACATTCTTTATTTAAAAGATTTTTTTATTTTAAAATTTTTGTAATTTTTTTATTATTTCTTAAAATTTTTTTATTGATCTTTTATTGTTTGTTTGTATTCATTTCTTCCAACATCTGTTGTTTCTTTACTAGTACGAGAATATTTTGGATTACTTTAGAATAAATTAAAAATATATATTTTGGGTAATTAATTAATTTAAAAATATTTTTTTAATTAATTATTTAAATCAATCAATTAATTAACACATTCATTTATTTATTTTTACACATTCTCTCTTTTATTTTTCCTCGGTTTCTAGTTAATTAAGAAGATTATCGATATATTAATTAATCATTCTCTCCCCCCTTTTTTTAAATAAATAAATAAAATATTATATTTATTTTTATATTTAAATCAAAAAAAATTAAACTTATTTAATTAATTAATTCCAACCATTTTTAAAAAATAATTTATGCACAAGTATCAGATTAAAATTATAAAAGAATGCCGCTATTAATAAAAAAAAGAAAATTCAAAACAATTTTTTATAACAAAAAAAACATTCTTTTATTTACAATTAAAGTTGGTACTTTTCTGTTTTATGACCACACTTTAAAAATGTTTAAAAATGGTCATAAATATGCACAAACTATATGTCATTCGAAAGAGCTCTTCGAGCTGAGTCGAATGACACCAAAATCATGTGGGGTTCGAAATGTACGAGCTCGAAATGGTCAAATAATACAATGACCAAAATGGTCAAAAATCATGAATATGACCAAAATGTATGTCATTTGAAAGTGCTCGACGAGCTGAGTCGAATGGCACAAAAATCAGACCGAGAACTTGATTTTGAGCCAAGATAAACAAGTTCAAAATGGTCTACGTAACCCTATGGGGCGTAGGCGAGGCGCTTGTGCAAAACCCCGCGCTTCGCGCGGGGTTTTGCGGCACACGCCTCGCGGGGAGTCTACGGTCGCTGGGTTCTGGGCTCGTAGCATAATCGTATTCCTATCATCGAGAGTTGGGCATACTTGGCTTCCTCCGCAGTTGTAAAACTCCACGGACGCCATAGGTAAGGAGCTAAAATAAACGATCATAACTTTGTCAAATCAAGTCAGATTTCGTTGATTTTTGTGCCATTCGACTCAGCTCGTCGAGCACTTTCAAATGACATACATTTTGGTCATATTCATGATTTTTGACCATTTTGGTCATTGTATTTTTTGACCATTTCGAGCTCGTACCATTTCGAACCCCACATGATTTTGGTGTCATTCGACTCAGCTCGAAGAGCTCTTTCGAATGACATATAGTTTGTGCATATTTATGACCATTTTTAAACATTTTTAAAGTGTGGTCATAAAACAGAAAAGTACCTTAAAGTTTATTTTGATCTCTTCCTCTAACCTTTTGTCAAAACCTATTTCATTGAAGTTTATTTTTCATTGAAAAAATAGATTTAAAGGTATTTAAAGTATTCTTTTAATTGTGTGTATTTAAATAATTGTGAAGACCACCAACAAAGTTTTTGTAATTTTTAAATAAAATTGACAGAAAGTAGTGATCTCTCTTTTTTTCTTTTATTCAAAGAAATGAATTCTTTTTTAAAAGAATTAAATATCTTTAATCTAAAGAATTTATTTAAAAATTTTTAAAATTTTAAAAAATACAATGGTGGATAAATTTATTCAATTTTCATATAAAAAAGATTCGAGAAAAGTTTACTTTTCTGGTTATAATTTGGATGAGAGACGTCCAATCTTGTTTTTTCCTCAAAATAAAGATTTATCTGTTTTTTTCTAATTAAAAATAAATTTATTTTTAAAATTAAATTAATTGTGACTAAATGTACATATATTTTTTAACAATTTCTTTAACTAATTACACTCAAAACACCTGTTTATCTAATTTAATTCTTATTTTTCTTTGCACAAAATTGCAACAAAATAACCCTAATTTATTTTAATTTTTAACCGAAAATTTGTTTATTTTTTTTCAAATAATCCAACCAAAAATAATATGTAGACGGGGACTGATCCAAAAATTTTTTTTTATTTTTTTCCACTCCAATTAAAAATTTTATTTTGGAAAGAGAAAAAGTTGCGAATATTAAATTATAGTAATTATTTTTGACGATGAAATTTTGTTGATTTTTTAATGTTTGTTATGTGTGAAGTAATACATAATTATTTTGTGAAAAATAAAATAATTTTTGGATAAAAATATTATTTATTTTTCGATCTTTAAGATGTATCAGCTCATGACAGGCAAGAGTATCAAGGCAAACATAATTAAAAAGAATTACCTCATTTCTAAAAGTTTTTTAAAACCTCGTTCTTTTTAAAACATCTTTTTCTAATAAGTTAATATTTAAAAATATTTTTATAATTTTGTTTTTTACTTTTTTAAATTTAATTTATTCGTAATAAAATTTATTTATTTTTTTTATTTTTCAGCCAAAATATTCCCCATTAATCACAACGAAGGTGAGGAAGGGGGAAATAAATTTATGTCTTCATTGCATCACAAAGAGACTGTCTCGAATACATCTATCAAGATTTGCAATGATGGCAGAGAAAATGGCAACAGCAACAACTGCGACTTAAAAACGGCAGATGTTAAAGAAGAATTGGCAACAACAACTGGCATTTTTAATAACAAAAATATTCAACAACCTTCTACAAGTGGGAAGAATTTTGTTGAAGAGGAAGACGATTGTTTAATTGTTTTTGAAGCTTTAAATAATACAACAAAATGTTCTTCTAAAAAAGAAAATGAAATTAATAAAAGACAAATAAAAAATGAAGAAATAACTGGAGATTATTTAAAGAAAATATTAAAGGAAGAAATGAATGAAGAGAGTGGTGAAGATTTGTGTTCACTTGAATGTATAGATGAAGAGGATTCTAATGAAGATTTTGACTTGAGAGATATGGATTTAAGAGTGGAGGTGGGGGAAAATGATTTGGAAAATATTCAAAATATTTCTAATAATGAAGAAAAGAAGGAAGACGAAGAAGAGGAGAAGGGAAAGATGATAAAAGAAGAGAAGGAAGAAGTTAATGAAGAGAAAATCGATCAGGAGAATGAAGATGATGAAGTGAATGATAAAATGAAGGAGAAAAGAAGAGAAGAGGAAAGATTGATTGATGAAGAAGGGGAAGAAAATTTGGAAGAGAAAATTGAAGATGAGGAAATGAATGAGGAAGAAAAGAATTCTAATGAGGATTTTGATATGAGGGATATTTATTTGAAAGTGGAAGTTGAGGAAAAAGAGTTGGAAAATAGTCTGAATGATGGGGAAGAAAAAGGGGAGAAGAATGAAAGTTCTGTGGAAGTAAAGGAAGAGACTGGAGAGGAAATAGAGGAGGAAATGGATGAAAGAGTGGCTGATGAAGAAGGCGATGAAGAAGAAACGGAGGAAGATGAAGAGACAAATAATCAAATTAGAGAAGAAGGAGGAAGAGATGATGAAATAGTGACTAAGGAAGTAGAAGAGAAAGAAGAAATAAAAGAAGATGAGGAAATGGATGAAGAAGAAACGGAGGAGAATGAAGAAAGTGTTGATGGAGTAATTGAAGGAGAAAAGGCTGAAGAAGAGAATGATGAAGAAAGGGACGAAGAAGTGAAGGAAGAAGGAAAAAATGATGATGCAGAGAATAAAGAAGAAAAAACAGAGGAAGAATTGAGTAAGGACGAAGAAGAACTTGGTGAAGAAGAAAAGGGTTATGTAAGCAATGAATTAAACGAGAAGGAAGAAAATCCTTTTACGACCAGCGGCAAACGACAGAATTTTGAGGAAAAAGAAAAAAGACAAGGGGAGGATCGGGTTAAGGATAATAAACCTAAAGAAGATGGATGTCTTAGAGTTATCTTAAAAGGAAATTCTGATTCAAAGGAGAAAGAAGAAAAATATAGAAGGATTTTAGAAGAAATAAGAAGCAAAAAGCAACGGGAAAAAGACGAGAATAACAGAAAAATGGCTTTAAATGAAGTAAAGGAATTGCCAAAGGATAGTCAAACGATATCCAGGAATAAACATTTAACTTCCGTGGATGTTCAAAAAATGTCTGGAGATATTAATAGAATGAATGACTACACTCAGAGAAAATTTGAAGATGGACAAAAATCTTTTGAAGATAATATTCCATCAACATCTAATGACAGTCTAATAACATCTGAAACTATCCAATCAACTAGCAATCAACAACTACAAACTCCTAGACATGTCCGAGCATCCTCAGTTGATGTTTCTTCACCATCCAAAAATCTTCAAACAAATTCTAAACATGAACGAAAATTATCTAACGAAATTCCTTCAGCAACCTCCACAAACATTCAAAAATCTAAACTCTTCAAAAAACCTCGAATTGACAACAATTTAAATGAGACTTCAACAGAAACTCCTCTACAACGAAACAAAATTAAATTTATTCCATTAGGAGATCTAATTGTTAAAGACCGACGATTGGAAAAAGTTGATTATTGCATAAAAGCTATTAATTGTGCAAAAGAAGGGGTTTTATTACCAAAATTTAAAATTAATAATTTAATTAATAATTCTGATAAAAAAGAAGAAAATAATGAAAAAGAAGAAATTAAAAATTCTGATAATAATAATGATGAATCTACACCTATGGAAATTGAAGAAGTTGGACAATCATCTAATGAAGGCAAGTTTTTTTATTTTATTTTAAATTAATGAAGGGGGAGGAAAGGAAAGGGAATAAACTTTGTAAAATAAATATATCCAAAAAATTAAAGTTTTGTGAGATCATTATCATTCTTTTCCCTTTTCATTACTACAAATGATTGGGGGAAAATGTGTGTAAAATATAGTCAGTCCTTTTTTTAAAAATTCTAAAAAATATCTGTTTGATCAGTAATTTTTTATAAATTATTCTGAAAGTGTAAATTGTATTTTGATATTCTTTTTACTAAAATTAATTTCTGTAGTTAAAATATTTTTAAATTATTCTAAAAAAACAAAAATATTTTAATTGACAGAGAATGGAGTTATTTAAATATTAAAATGCTTTTTTTAAATAACGATAAAAATTATTTTTGAGTATAAGTGATTGACATACTAAATATATTTTTTTAAAGAGAAATACATAATTATAGTAATTTAATATTTATTTTTCTTCTCTTTTTAATTTTAGTTTAAATATTTTTAGCTAACAATAAGGATAGTTAAAGCACTAATTATTTATAAAAAACAGTTAATTGGCTAGTTTTTATTTTTTAGTATTATCAAGTTTTAAAATAAAACAAAATACCATAGTACCTCCAATTGAATTCCTCCACCTTTTGAATGCCCCCTCTAATAGAATGCTTCTCAGGAGGTTGATTGAAAAATCTTCGATATCCCCTTATATTCGTTTTAATCCTTAAATATAATCATTTTATCCGGTACCCCTCTTTAATAAACCCAAAATCCCTTGATATCAGTTTGATATGCAGTTCCTTACATAAATAAGAAAAGAGGTACTTCACTCGGTCTTTTTAAAGTTTGTACCTTGGCATTTGGTAGGTAAAATTTTCGGCAATAGGTAGATAGAGTTCAGCCAATGGCTAGATAAAAGTTTCTGCAATATACAGGTAGATAAAAGTTCTGCAATGGGTAGATAAGGGTTGGGGTCGTTCTGGCGCCGGGCCGTTTTGGCGCGAGAACAAAAAAGTGGTATTTAGGCGAGACCTAACTTCATAAAAATTTTCTCAAATTTCTTTAACATCCTTGACTACCTGCTCCAGAAATTTCAGAATTTTTTATCAAATATTTCTGAAGTTATAGTCGATAGACCTCGAAAAATTAGCCATTTTTCAGAAAATCAACATTTTTGGCCACAATTTCCGAAATTCTTGATCAAAAATTCTGAAATTTTTGGAGAACTTAGATAAAGGTACGAGAGTTATTAATGCAAAATTTTATTTTTGATAACGAACTCGCTATCTTATAAGCTCGCGCCAAAACGGCCCAGTCCCGTAGATAAGTGTTCTGGTACTGGATGTGTGTGCCAACAGGATGTGTGTGCCAACAGGCTTTAATTAAATTATGAGTTAAATTAATTAAAAATACACGGATGCCAAATCGAAAAAAGTAGCGGTATCCCACAAAATCTCGTCGGGATCCCGTGCCGCGCCGGCCACTACTTTTGATGTGTGTGCCAACAGGCTTTAATTAAATTATGAGTTAAATTAATTAAAAATACACGGATGCCAAATAAGGAATGGGGTAGGACATTTTGGGGATTTTTATTTATTAGGGCATTTGGGAGGGGGGTTGTTCATGAGGACATTTTGGGGCGCAGCCACGGTGCAAAATATGACAAATGTAGAAAATTGAGGGAAGATAGGGCGAAAAGGTCAAAACTAGGGCAGATGCTTTATAAATAAGGTAAAATGATTACCCTGGGCGGAGCTAAATTTTTTTTTTGGCATGCATAGGAAAATAAAATTAAACTTTATTGTTATTAAACAGTTTCATAAAATTGTGAGATATCCAATAAAAAATTATTTTAATGTCAAACTAAAAATTTTAAAAATTATTGTAAGTAAATTGTGCAAGAGTGTATGGCGTGCATCTGAAACCTTTTATATGAGAGATCCTACTAACAAGAATTATTTTCAAAATTAAATTAAGAGGCCTTTTTCTCAAATAATTACGTCGTTAATTTCTGTTTTGGGAGTTCTTTATTTTTAAAATAAACTTTTTGGCGGAAAGTTTTGGCATTTTATGAAAAATAAGGAAAAAATAGAGAAACATTGTTTAAAAGAAAGATTATAGATAAAAACATTCCGCAAGAGTAGGTATTTTTGTTTTTTGCAGAATGTGTCAAATATGAGCTGGAAAAAGCTAGCTAACATAAGAAATACATCCTAGAAATAGCTAACATAAAACGTTTACTTTTTTTGTTTTATTGATTATATTCCCTTAAACCTGCAAAAATTTTTATTTTCTCACAATTGTTTTGATATTCTTTAATTTTTAGGAAGTTTAACAGATTATAATATAAATTAAAAGGTCACCGAGTGGTGTTTCTTGTAGAAGACTATATAAAAAGTATTTTGTTAGACTACATTAAATATGTAAATGATATTCATTTCACTTACGTTTCCCCCTATCTTTTTGTTGATTACTGTACTTTTTTTTTTAGAAAAGGCTATTTTAATTTTTTTGAACGTTTTATGTATTTTGTTCATTATCGAATAATTCAATCTATTTTTTAATCAAGAATTAATTTTAGATATTTTTTCTTTAAAAATTATTCTCTTTGATTTTAAAAATGAATAATAGATATACTTGTCGTAAGTTTTGAAACTCTTAAAATTAATTTTTAAATCTAAAAATACTTTAAGCTTTTTAAATTGGTTTATTTGTGAGAAATTGAAAGAAATCATTCAATTTTTGAAATTTTTTTAAATTAAAATTTTTTATTTTAGGATTTATTCATACAACAAACTTTCCGCAATTTGAACGAGAACATTGGGGTGTTGGAAATGTTTGGCATCCACCACCTTATCCACCGCCGTTAGCGTATATTAGACCTAATCATCAACCATTTGCTGAGGACACTTTTGCTTCGAACCAAAATAATTTTGTGTATAGAAGTTTTGATTCTCGACCATCGGGAGGTATTTTAATTTAAATTTTATTTTTGAAGAGTAAGCTCTTTTGGGAATCATTTAGTTTAAGCATCACATTTTATTGTTAATCAAATATTTGCAAATAAAATTATTTTTAATGTTTGAGCTTAAGTTTTTTTTTGTAAAAATTGACTTTAATTAAAAAACAAAAACTGATTTTAATTTATTTAACATTATTAGGTGTTCTTACCTAAAAATATATATTTATAAAAAGTTGGATAATTATATGTAAAAGATTAGTTTGTTCTGTTTATATTTCCTTAACATGGATAACATATTCTTTTATTATGTTTTTACTTTCAGATATTGCTGGAAATCGTGTGAATGTTGGAACTAGTTCTTCTGTTGCTACAAAGGCTACAAAGGTATATTTTAGCTGGGTACTATTTCAGAAGTCTATCCTTAAAGGCCTACACCCAATCGGTGTCGAAGGCGCCAAAAATTTCGATTTTTAGCGCCGACAGGCCCGTAGCCAGGGGGGGGTAACGGGGGTAATTCCCCCCCCCCCCCGAAATGGGGAAAAGGGAAAAATTTGGGGAAGGGCTGGGGCAAAAAAGTGAATTTTTTTGGCCTACGGCCTTCTAAAATTCTCAAAATTTTCGCCTGCGGCGCTGAAAATAAAAATTTTTCCCCCCTTGCCCCCCCCCCGAAAAAAAAACCTGGCTACGGGCCTGTCTCCCGATATACCTATTAATTCCGCTAAATCCCTTTTAATCCCTATCAGCTCTCCGGATTAACTTGTAAAGATAACTTGCTTTGATAAAAATGTCATTCAGGGGTGTAACCCTACGTTCAAGAAGCATTGAGGGTATAGTTATTCAGGGTTGACACCTATTTCAGAATTTTCTTCCGGTGCAGCCAAAACTTTAATTTATTTTTTTAGTTAACTCAAACAGAATTGTCTTATCCAAAAGATGAAATTCTTGAGACTAATTTAAAGAACAAAACAGACGAAATAACAAATTTACGTTCGCAACTTTCAAAAAAGGAGGAAGAATTAAATCATTTAAATTCATTAGAAACTAGCAACAAAACTTTGAAAGATCGATTGGAGTCGAAAATTAAATTAGTAGAGGAATGTAAAAATCATATGGCTGAGGATGGTGAAAAGATTAAAAAATTGGAAAAAGAAGTTGAAGAATTAAAGAAACAAAATTATTTGCTTGAATTGGAAAAGAAAAATAATAATTCAAAAAAGGAGGCAAAATCTCCGGCTTTAATTAAAGCTGTAAGTTTTTAAAATTCTTAAAAATTTTTAAAAATATTTTCAGGAAGATGAAATTAGACAATTAAGAAAAGACATTTCTGAGCAACGTAGAAAAACTGAAAATGCTAATGACCAGTTAAGAAAAAGTGACGAACATTGTAAAAGGTTAACTGCCGATTTAAAACACCAAAAGGATCGTTATGATGAATGGAGGAAGCAAACAATAAATAATCACAAGAAGGAAATTAACGAAGAAATTAATAAAATTAGTGCGCAGTATAAAATTGAAATTGAAAGGATTTCTGAAAGTTTTTCTGTGAAACAAAGCAATTCAAATGCTAATTTGAAATCTCAACTTCAACTTAAGGTATTTATATTTTTTTAAAAATTTTATTAATGCTTTGTTGTCGTCTTCGACAAGATTTGTTTCCATAAAATTAATGTAACCGTCAGTTTTCTTTATTTTATCGATATATAATAAAATCATATTTTAAATAGATTACGTGGCTCCTTTGTTGAGCACTCTTATAGCAAATTAGTTAATTATTATAAAATTTGAATTTTTTCTTTTAGGAATTTGAAATTGAACGGCTGAAAGCTGCAAATTCAGAGGAACGTAAAATGTTTGAAGGTGAGAAGCAAAAGGTTTTGGACAATTATAAGAAGTTGGAGGAGAATTTGGTAAAAACCCATGCAGAAAACCTTGAGTTGCAACAAATAAATAATAGCAATTTTGAAGAGTGGAAGAGAATTGAATTAAATCGGCACATTAATGGATTTAATATGGAAATTATTAGAATTAAAGAGGAATACAAAAGGGAATTAAATCAAAGTTTAGAGAAGGAAAAGCAGACTGCTAAAAAGTATTCAGAATTAACGGAGGCTACAGAAGAACTGAAAAAATATGTTTTGGAAAATATAGAAGAAATGCAACAACAAAAACAGGGATCAAGTAACCAAATTATTCAAGAAAATCCATCAGAAATTAAAGAAAAACTTGAGAAGGAACATTCAATGAAAATGAAAAATTCGTTGCGCGACATTTGTGAAGAGGTTTAAAATTTAAAAAAAAAATTATTTTTTTTGAATTGTTTAAATATACTTAATTAATTAATAGACAAAAATTTTGGGGTTTTTTTATCATTCTAAAACTAAAATCCTTTCTATTAACTTTCATGTCCAAATAGTGAATAAATAAAACTGAAAAAAAGTTCAATATTTTCGATTAATTCTATTCAATTTCTAGCAACATCGAATTAAACTCAAAAAAGGGCAATTAGATTCAGCGATCTTAACGCAACAATGTGTTAATTGTACTGCTCTTAAAATTGGTATAGAATTTTTTTGAATTTTATTTTATATTTAATTTTTGTTTTTAGCTTTTACTCAAATGAATCAAAAAGTTGAAAATTGTTTGAAAAGTGGATGTGAAATTTGTAGTGGGAATCGTTCTTTAGATTCTTTAGATTCTCAATCTTCTATCAATTCTTCAAATAATCAACCTTCTCCAAGAACCCCACCAAGAAATAAAGATGTTAATTTACGTGAAAATCGAAAAAGGTCTGTTTCCATTTATTGTTAAATTCTCTAAGCTTTAGGGTTTGTTTGAAAATTTGTGGGGCTAATCAAAATTCTAAAGGAAAACTCTAATTTTTTTATTCGAGTTTCTCTATTCATTTGCTATATTTTTAGTCATTATATAAACTATAGTATCTAACAAAAAATTAGTTTAAAAAATACCTTTGATTTTGTTTTATAATTTTTATTTTTCAGAAACCAACAGGGTCAATTAAAATCAAATAATCCAATGATTACAAATAATGATTCCTTGCAATCTGCTGGTCAAGTTTTTAATAATTCTAATGATACTGGTCGTCAAACAGTGGAGAGTGCTACTTCAAGTTTGATTTCAATGACTCCATCAGATCCTCAACAATTGGAAATTACAACGTTTGTTTTCTATCTGAATTTTTTGAAAAATTTATAATTAATTTTAGTGTAATTGAGAATGTTAAAGAAGAAATTGAAGATGTTGGACTTGATGCACAGCTTGAACTTCAAAATAAAAATCTTGAGAATAATATACGTTTTATTCGTTCCAAATCTGTCGCTGCTCTTTATTCACCAACAACACAAACATTCCCGACAATGGTTAATCAAGCAAATATTCAAACATCTTCTCGTTTGGAAGATTTTGTCAATCCACAACCACCACCTCCACCATATTTACAAGCAAATTCTGATCCTCGATTTAATCAACAATTTAATTCTATTGGAAATACAACTAATCAAGTATTCCCTCAGGGACAACAAAATCAGAATTTACAGCAAGTATGCCAAAATACACAGGCAAGTTTAATTTACTTATATTTGTCACACTTCTTGGGGGTTTTTTCTGACTATTTCTAATTTATTTTTTTTAAAGTTGATTTGTTCTTCTTCTGCACAACAACAGCAACAACGTCAATTAATATATCAACAACCAATAATTCAACAACAACAAAATCAAATTGCTTCAAATATTTCTTATGTTCCATCTCATCCTCTACTTAATAACCAACAAATATTACAACAACAAAATAACCATCCACAATTTCAAAACAGACCAACATCGCAACAAAATATTCAAAATTACTTAAATCAAAACGTTAGTGGAGTTCCTTTAAATTCTGTTATGCAACAGTTATTTCAGCAACAAATGAATTCGCAGCAACAACAACAGCAACAAGTCCGTTTTCCACAACAAACATTCAATCAACCTCAAAATCCAGCAAGACAAGCAAGACGACCTAATGATCCGAGATTTCAAAGTTCGGATATGTATGCTTTTTTGAATAGTATATTGGAACAACAGCAACAACAATCTCAATCACAACAGCAACAACCTCAGGTAAATAATCCGCAACAATTGCTTCAACAATCTTCAACGGGGAAAAGTAAATCAAAAAGGAAGAAATAAACATTTAATTTATAAAAGTGTTTAATTATTATTATATCCCAGCTTTTCAATCATCTTTACTTAAAAAGTATTCTTTCATTTTTGATTTAAAGATATACACGTACATATATCTCTTTTTAAATTATTTTATATACAAAAAAAACATTGATTCATTTTATTGGGATTAGACTTGGCCAAATTTAATTTTAATTTATATTGGGTCTGTCTAAAAATAATCAAATCTCTAAATTTGGCCTAATCCCTACAAATATTGTTGTTTTTATGAGTACTTTTGTTTTAATAAATTTATTTTTTGTCTTTATTGATGATATGGTAATATCTAAAAATTTTAGTTTTAGTCGGTAGTGTTGCCATTTTCTAGGTTTTAATGTCCAAGTTCGAACCTCTCCATCATTTTTAGAATATTTTTAAAGTTTTCTTTCATCAAATTCCTAATTTTAAAATATTTACATTTTTAATTTCCCTACTTATAATGACTTGAAACTCTTTATAGTTTATTATTGTTTTAGCTGTCAAACTAATGAAGAGCGCGAGTAAGAAAAGAATAAAGAAAGAACACGTTTTTGGTCATAAGAGACAAGTTTTTGATTTTGAGCTGAGCGGAACTAAAAATTATATATTTTATAATAAACATAGCCACGAATAAAATAAAAAGCAAAGACTGATGTTTTTTGATAAAGTAAATAATGAGCAAAGTAATAAAACTACGTGGGTGGATGCTTAGATGTTAAGTGTGAAAGTTAAAATAAATTGATATTTTGATGGTTATTGTTGATAAATTAGTAGATTGTTGTTTAATTATTTCCTGAAAAGGAGAATTTGATTTATTTAAATATTCCTCTCAAATAAGCAGAATTGCCAGCTTCTCAAGTAGTAGAAAAACAATTTTCTCCAATCTTCGTTTATCCATTCCTTTGATTTTAAACTTTGATTTAAATTGATTTTTATTTTCTCTCTTTTTCTGTCTATACAAACAAACATTCCTTAACTTGGGCGTTATATTTTGGAAAGAAAAGGTTTTGGTAGATTTTGCGATTATACTTGCTTAACTTGATTGACTGGTTGCGCTAGAAAGAAGACGCGATTTTACTCTAAAACTATTCTCTTATCAGCATTACATCAAAAAAGATTTAAAAAAGAGAACAAAAACAAAACCTGCAAGCTCTAAATTAATAACATAAATAAGCTTGGCTATAAATAAAGGAAAGAAAATAAGGACTTCCTTTTTTCGTTGCAAACGTGCAAAAAACTATTAAAAATGATCTAAAAATATTTTTATTTGTTTTTAACGAAGTTTTCTGTTTCGGGGTGGGATGGCCAGGAGTTAGGGGTCGGTTTAGAGAGGGGGAGGGAGGGGGAGGGGTATTTAAAAATATTTTTAAAAATTCCTGTTAGGGTCAGATATTCTTTTCATTTATTATACTATACAGTGAACTTAAATTACCTTTTTAGCACCTTTTCATGAATTTTCTATCATTTACATATGTTTAACTACAAATTTTCTAATGCCTCTTACTAAATATTTCAATAAAACCCATTTACTTTTCTTTATTATTATTCAAAAGATCTATACGATAAACAAATATATATTCAAGTTTGTTCTCATATATTATTACAATCTTTGCTTAAAATCTATCTTTTACTTATTTTAGTTTCCCCCTACACATTTACATTTCTTCAAATTTTCTATCGGCATTTCCGCGCTCATTCTTTTATTTATTTTTGATGCACAAGTCTGCGTCTGGTCACAACAATCTTTTTCTAGTTTTTAATCTATTAGATCATTTTTTTAATGATCAATATTTTAGAGTCTGTCATTTATTTCTTTATCAAATCTGATATATAGGTTTTGAATATTTTTTTGATTTGACGACACCCATTAGTTTGAGCTTTATTACAATGTTAAAACAAATCTTAGTAAATATTTCATTTTCTTCTGTCCCCAGACTTAAAAGTTAAGGAATATCTCTTAAATAAGTCACAACTTTGGGGTGTTACTCTGACTGGTGATATTTAGGAATCGACCCAATCTTCATCTATCAGAATTTTCGCCACGCCATCAAAAAATATTTTCTCTTAAGAATAATGGAGGAAAATAATAATAATAAAAAGAAGAAGAAGAGAGAAAGAAGTTTTGTCAGTTTAGCACCACAATTCATTCAAACAATTTTCAAGTATATAGTAGTGATGTTCGGGTATCCCGACTCCCGACACCCGACTCGGGAAATTTCCCGAGTTTTTGGCCTCCCGATCCCGACCCCGACTCCCGATGCCAATTCCCGACTAAGTCGGGAAATTTTTACACCCCTAAGAATGGCTTTTTCTCATAAAATTTTATTTTTGAAAGGAAAAAATAAAGATAAAAAATAAAAAAAGAGAAAGGAAAAATAAAATATTTAAATTTTTTCCCTTATAACTATTGTTGAGACGTGATTGAGTGGTTAGGTTGACTGACTTCAGTTGCTTTGTTGGGGCTGGGTTCGAATCCAGGGCTAGTAAATGTTTTTAAATAAAAATGTTTTTAAATAATTTTTCCACCCAAAAATAAATGGTTTTAACATTGATTTTGATTTTAAAATTTTAAAGTTATTTTTTTCAATACTATAAACGTCAAAAAATTCCAAAAAAATTAAGTTAGTCATGAATTTTCAAAAATTTTCGCCTGCGGCGCAGAAAATAAAAAATATCTGACTTCTTAGCAGTGATGGGCAAAGTTCCAGTTCCAGTTTCGGAACTAATTAGTTTTAGTTCCAGTTCTAGAACTACGGAACTAACGATTATCTGGAACTAGTTTGGAACTAGAACTACGGAACTAGTAAATGTCTGGAACTAGCTTGGAACAAGTTCCGGAACTAGTTCTCAGGGGTATATTTTTGACAAGATTCCCTCGATGAAGTTTCTTAAATTCTCAAAATTTTCGCCTGCGGCGCAGAAAAAGTGGATTTTTTGGCCTACGACCTTAGAATCTCAAAAATAAAGGACGAACTCTGGTTCTTAGCCTTCGACTTAAGAAAATTTTCGCCTTCGGCGCGGACAAAGGATTTTAGATTGTCGAGACTGATCATAACATCAATGGCGTATCCAGGAGGTTAGATGTCTGGCTTCCTGACCTTCCAAAATTCTCAAAATTTTAGCCTGCATAGCAAAAAATTGGTATTTTTGGCGCCGAAGGCGGCAAAAATTTTTTTGTTGTAAATTCCCGACTCCCGATCCCGACTCCCGAGGTCATTTCCCGACCCGACTCCCGTTTCCCGATTCCCGAGTTTTTTCTTCTCCCGAACATCACTAGTATATAGTAGAAGAAAATCGTCAAACACCTAAATAGGTAAGCAAAAGCCAAAATCACTACAAAATAGCTTTATTCTTGTGTTGCTTGCTCTCATTTTTGTTTGTTGGCGTTTTATTCCCCTATCTTTTTCCTTATAAATTTATGTATTTTCTCGATTTTTTAGTACTTGCCTATACAATAATATATATTCTTTCTAAGGTTTTTAGTATACTAAAGCGAGAATGTCTTTCAATTTTAATACAAAATATTTATTTATTTTCTTAAATTTTTTATATTAGATTCTGATTTCTTGCCATAAAAAGCTTTAAATCAAACACAAAATAACCTAATAAGACAACTTTAAGAAGTTTTCCTAGTTTTTCTCTAGTAACTTTTTGGATTTTTAGAACGGAGAAGTCTCCTTTCGTTAGCGGAGAGAAGTCTCCCTTCAGCAGTCTCCCTTCAGCATAATATTAGAAAATATCAATTATAATTAACTAAAAGGTATTTTTAAAAAATGGGGCTCTATTTCAGGGTGGGGTTTTATTTTCGGAAATACGGTATTCTATGCCCTTTTAAGAAATCCTGTCTACTAAAAATTTAATTGTGTTAGATTTTTTATCAAAATTATGATGGGTGTTTGACAAATTGGCAATGTGACAAAATGAAAATTTAGAAAAAACTCGGTTCAGTTTTGAATTTTCAAAGAATTCCCACAAATAAATCCTTTTTTCTTTCAAAATTTACGAGAGAAACCAAAATATTTTGTTGACCTACTTTTGCACTTTAGACTAGACTTAAATATGTATTTCTATAAAAGAAATCTTGATTTTGTTAGTTTGCTCTCTTTAGTATTTAAACCCAAAATATATTCTCATTCCTTTCGTTGCTAAAGTGAATTTACTTTTTGATAAAGAAATTGTGTGTTTAATTGAGATTTTAGGTAAAATAATAATAGGAATAATTTATAAATGTAGGAAAGTTGAGATACCTTAAGGGAATGACCGATAGGCAACAGTAAAACGGAAGCCGCCTTTATACCACTTGAACTTGATCTAACATAATTTAATTCCCTTTCGTTTAATTTTCAGATTTTTAAAAATAAAATATGGTTTCGATAATGCGACCTGAACAAACTTTACGGCTTATTCAACTTTATCATTCTCATTATCCAGAAATTGCTCGTAATAACCAAGATGCTGATGGACGGAATCAGAAATTACAAATGTGAGGAAAAATTTTTTGAGGACATTTATACATATTTAATATTTTTCTAGGTGGGCAAAAATAACAGAAGAATTAAATATTCAATTCGATACTTTATTTACTGTTGAACAATATAAAAAGAAAGTGCAGAATGTTCAGTGTACTTCAAGGCAAAAATTATTTAGTGGAAAAAGGTCGAATCTTTTATCTTGCAATTAAGTTAGGCTAGCATCCCGTCCCCGAAACCCCGACCCGAATTTCGAAGGCTCTACTCCAGCAACCCCCGATCCCCGACGATCTCGCCCCCGAAGGCTCGGGGGTGCTACCCTAAATTAAACACTGAGTTTTACTAAAAACGTTAAAAATTACATATAAATATGCATCCATCACCATAACTAATTATTTTTTAATTTTAAGTGGATAGTTTAACATTTAACAATAAATTTGAGCACTCGAATATATCTAGATTAGCCATACTTCTACTTAAGTTTTTCAGTCATTCAAACAATTTTCTCTTTTTCAGAAATTTGGGAGAAGCAGAAGTTGAATATTTACGATTATTTGAATCTGACAAAATAAACGAAGAAACCCTCTATCTTAGAGCAAAAGGCCGTCTTGGGCCATTAAATAATGATAATATTAAATGTTTGTCTCTTCCACCTGGGGAATTTGATTCAATAATTCAAACACCCAGTCGAGAATTGAGTGAGGGATTGGACTCGATTGATGGGGGGTCTTTTGATGGAATTAATAATGAATTGAAGATTAGGTAAAAATTAAATTGAGAGGTTTTTTTAATTGTAATTAAAGATTGTATGAATCAAGAAAGTTGTTGAAAGGATGGAATGAGGAAATGACAACATTAAATAAACAACAAGAAAAGGAAACAACAACAATTATGGTAAGGGATGAAATTAATAGTAAAAATATAAATTCTGAAAATAATAATTTAATAAAAACAACAAATAATAATAATCAACAAATAGACTCTGCTCAGCAGTTTCTTCTTGCTTTGGTTAGAAAAAAAATATTTTGAGATAAAAAAAGAGCTCGGAAATTTTTAGAAATAAGATTTCAAGGATTTAGAAGGGTTGGAAAAAATTAGAATTTTGATGGGAATATCCTCCCGTTTTCAGATCAGAAAAAATTAATTTCTTTTATGCTTACGAAAATAGTAATAGTCAAGTAAGGCTAAAATTTTAGATTGCAAATTAAGTGAGAAAAATAGACAAAAATTTTTTTTATTTATTTTTTGACATTTTAATAAATTAAAAGGCTGATACTGAAATTTTTTGAAAAATATAAAAAATTATTTTATTAAAATTTAAATATTAAAAAAACAGTTAAATGCAACTCTGGATAATGTGGGAAATGATAATCATGCAAATAATTTAATGGAAGAATCTTCAATTGATAAATTAGCTAATTTGGATAATTTAAAAAAGAAAAGAAAAAATTTAAATCAAAAGGAAGTAATGATATCTCCAAACAAAAGAAGTCGAAAATTGGAAAAGCCGATTAGAACTTTGGAAGAAAATATTGAACAAACGGCAATTTTAATGGTAAAAAAGGGGAAATTTAATTAAATAAAAATTGGTTAAAATAAAAAGTTTTTTTGAGAATTTTAATTGGGAAAATTTAAATTAATTATTTTTCTTTACTCAATTCCTTTACAAATAATTCTCTAAAATAATTTTTTTACAAAATATTTTTCTCCTTTAATTTTTTAATTTAAAAAAGAAATTTTTAGGAAGAAGAAGGAATTACAAAAAATAATTTATTAAATAAAAATCTCCATCCACCACCACCACCAACTACTAACAATAACAACAATCAATTATTTAATAATCAACAAAAATTAGAGGAAGCCCCAAATACTTCAACAACAAATATTCAATTAAATAATTTACAATTTGAACAAATTTGTGGAAAAATAGACAAAACTAATTTTTTGTTAAATAAAATTATTGAATTAATTAATGAACGTTTACCTAAAAATAATAATGAAGGAATTTGAGTTTAAGAAAATGAAGTAAGGAAGAAAATATATTTTATTTTGATTTTAAAAATTTATTTTATGTTGTACAAAAAGGATAGAATTTTAATTAATTACAAGTTTTTTTAAATATATGTTGGGAAGGAATTTGGAGAACTTTGAAGGTTTTCCCCTTATAAAGTTGCAAATAAAAAACTTTGGGGATATTTATTTTAAAAAACTTGGTAATTCTTGTTTGATTTAAAGACTACATATTACAGTTATTTTAATTTTTCAATTTTTGTTTGTTTGCTCATAATAAATCTTGCCAATGAATATATTTACCTCTAAATTAAAGAATAAATAAATTTTAAATTTTGTCTTTTATTAAATAACCACAAAATAACTTTAGCTCTACATATTCCCTCTCAAAATTCAATTCAAAAATACTGAACTATTTGCTAATTAATTTTTAAAAATTAATTAATTTTGCGAACTAAAATAATTTTTATTTTTAAAAGATTCTTTATCTTTTTATATAAAAGAATAGGGAGAGAGAGATTAGAATTAAATTACGTTAATTTTTTTAACAAAAAATAAAAATCTTTTGTTAAAAAAATAACAGAAAAAACTAATCTAAAAATATATTTATTGAAAGAAAAGTTTATTTTGATGTTTCTTTTTTAAAAAATGTTTACTTTAAGAAATTTGAGAGGATTTATGTAGGTAATTTTTATTAAATTTAATAAATAAATGGTTAGATATTTACGTGGATTTTTTTGTGAATTTAAAATAAAAAATACTTTTTTTTTTAAATAATTAAAAAAACATTCAATTTAGAGTTGTTGAGACTTTAAAAACATTTTTTCCCCAAAAAATTTCCCTTTTAATTATTTACCTAATTATTTGTGTATTTATTTCCGGTCCTCATATTTAATTAACTCTTCCACTTTACCCCCAATAAAAAATATTGCCCACTTAAGTTGATAATCCGTCAATTACTTTTGTGTATATTTTTAATTCTGATTTTATTTGATTTATTTCTGGAAAAGAAAAATATAAACTTTATTTTATTTTCGACTATTTCTACAAAAATATTCAGTAATTATGGATACTCCTCTAACTTAAAAATCTTGTTAGTATCTCGGAGAATCATTTGAGGATATAAAGTTATTAAAAAGTTTGAATCGCGAGGAAACATGTGAAGAATAGATATTCGCTTGTGCTAGGCTCAGATTAGCTTTTTTCTCGATTTAATCAACAGCCCTTTTCAGGCCGAGTTCTCTCTCTTTTAAGTCCTCCGGACTTATCAAAAGTTATTGTTTACCAAGTTCCAATTTAATGTTTATTTAAAGCTTTAAATATGTCAAAAATAATTAATTATTCTCTTGTATATTTTTACTTAATTTTTGTTCAATTTACTTTAATAAAATGTGAAATAAAGTAAGTTTTATTCACTAATTATTTTTTTAAATAATTTTCTAAAAGTTCAACACAACCAACAAATTCAAGTATATTAACATCTTTAATAGAAAGTAAAGAAAATGATACAAAAATTCCCAGAGAAGCAACAAATGAATTGCCAAATCCTGGGGAAATTGCTGATCCTTCCTTAGTTTTTTTTCAAGAATTACTCTTTAATTTAAAAATTAGGTCCCCGTCCATCTCGAAAAGCCAGAATATCGTCCAGTTGCAGTAAATAATCCAATGCCTGTAGTTACTGAAAATCCAAGAGAAGAATCTACAAGTATATCAACAACAATAATTAATTTAGGGGAAGGGGAAAAAGAAGAAAATAAAATAATTGAAGAAATAATTACAACTACAACTACAACTACAACACCTAGTGAAGGAGAACAAACAGAAATAACAACACTTAAACCTAAAGAAGAAGTAAATAAATTTAAAAATAAAATATTTAATTTAAATATTTTTTTAGCAAAAAGAAGCTGGAAAGGAAGAAGAAACAACTGAAGAACCAAAATCTGAGAAAAAAGAGGGAGAAGAAAAAGAAGGAGAGGGTGGGGGAGAGAATAAAGAGGAAGGGGTAATGGAAGAAGTTAAATTAATTTTAATTTAAAATTTTAGGAAACCCCTCCTCCAAAGGAAATTATTACTTCAACTCCACCAACAGATATATTAGAAACAACAACTTTGGAAGAACAAAATAATTTAGATGAAGAAGAATTAATTAAATTAATGACAGAAGCTTTAAAACGTTCAAATTTAGCAATTCAAAATGTTACTTTAATATTACCTGGGGATACAAATCCCACATTATTACAAACTTTTTTACAGACATTATTAAATAATAACAATTTAGTAAATGATCAACAAAAAAATAATTTAAGTAAAAAATTAATTTTAATTAAATAAATTTAATTATTTATAAAAAAAGTGCCTGCCCCTCTTTTTCCTTCAAATCAGTTTTGGCCTCCAGCAGCAAATATTCCTCCACCCAATACGGGTAAATTTAAAAATAAAAAACGTTATAATCAGTGCTTGGATGTATCAAAATAAGTTGAAATTTCCAAGCACTGTTTTAGAAATTTTCCTTCACAATAAATATCAAATTTTATTTATTTATACATACAACAAAGTATTGAAAACACTGACAGGGTTTAAAAATTACAAAAAAAAAAGAATATTTAAAGATAACCTTAAAATTTACCTAAGAAAATATTTTAAATATTTTCAAGTTTATACTTCATCATTTAATATTCCCCAACAACACCCAACACGTCCTTTTTATTTAATTAAAGTTGAACAATTAAATGATTGGATTAAAGTTTAATTTTTAAATAAATACTTTTTTTAAAAATTAATTATTTTTCCAAGTCTGGTAAAAATATAAAAGTTTTGGATGCAAGTTATGACCCAGAACCTTTACCTATTGATCATATTAAATTTTATTCTGATTATTATGCAAAATGGGATAAACTTTTATTGGAAAAGGTTTTTTAAATCAAAAATTGAAAAGATTATAAACATTTTAGAGGAATCTTCAATTTGAACGTTCACATTTAGAGGGGGCAATTCCTTTTAATTTAAATATAGCAACATATCCAAGTTGGTAAGTTTAGTTGTGATATTTAGTGATATATTTAAATAAATAATTATTTAAAAGGAATGAAAGACAATCATTATATTCCCCCCAACTTTTCCAACAATATATTCAACGTTTGGGGATTGATCAAAATGATCAATTGGTAATTTATGGGAGAGGTCCAAATGGGGGAATGTTGGAATCAGCACGTGTTTGGTTTTTATTTAGAGTAGGGGGTTTTGAAAGGAGAATAAATTAAAAATAAATTTAGATATATGGACATGAAAATGTGGGTATTGTAGATGGGGGTTTGGAAGCTTTACAAAATTCTGATTTTGAATTAACTAATGGAACTACAGAAAATATTAGTGTTAGTTAAATAAATAAATAAATTATTCTTTTAAAATTTACAACAAAAAATAAGAGGGGAAAATTAATAGGGAATATGTAGGGTTGTCGGTTTGGAAAGACATAGAATAAAACGAGGATCTTAGGTTCGGTTCTCCTGTCCGTTTCCGGATATCCTAACATTTTCGACATAAGAACTGACAACCGAACTGGGGACGAATTTAATAGAAAATGAAATAAAAGCTTTGATATTTATTATTTTCTATTCCCTAATCACAAAATCTCTCAGAAAAGTTTTTTAAAAATATTTTTTAGTTGGGTAATTGGACAGCTAAATTCAGAGATGATTTATTATCTACTTTTGAAGAATTAACAACTGTAGATAATTATGGTTATTGTATTTTGAGTAGATTATTTTGGGTAAATTTTTGAAAAAAATAAATATTTAAAAATTATTTTAAAGTATAATTTTCTCGATTCGAGGCCTAGAAATGAATTTTTTGGATTATCTGGAATTTATGGTAAGCTTAAAAATAGGGGGGCAAAAAGATTTTATTTCAAGAATATTAGGAAATGAATATTTTTTAAAGATTTATTAAACTATTAGATGGGTGTTTAATTAAAGGTAAAAATGGTTCTCAATATAAAATATGAGAAAATAAAATAATAAAATTAAATATATTTTAATTTTAAAAGAAACACAAAGAGGGCATTTAACTGGATCAAAGCCTTTTCCAGCTGATGAATTAGTTACCCCAAAAGGATTTTTATTATCCACAGAAGAAATATTAAAAAGTAAATTTTAAAAAGAAATATATTCTTTTTAAACTTCTTTTAAAGAATTAACACAAATTGGTTATAACCGTAATTACCAAACAATTGTTTTTGGCAACACAGCAGATGAAGCTTCTTTAATTCTTTTAGCATTAGCTTTAGTACAAGACACTAAAGCAAAACTTTATAATGTTTTTAAATTTTGAAGAAAATAAATAAATAATTAATTTTTTTCAGGGAGGAATTGAAGAAATAAAAAGAAGAGCTCCTTATTTAATCAAAAATTGATTTTTAAAAATTTTATTTTTAATTTCCATTATGTAGAAAATTTTTATTTAAAGTAAATTTGCAAATATAAAGTATGTATAATAAAAATAAAAATTAAATAATAATTTTATTTTTAAACATTTATTTCAATTTTTTAGAAAAATATAGAGAATTTGGGTGTTACGACAATTGCGGATACGCACGTGCGGATGCGACAATTGCTGATTAAAATTTTTTTAATTTTAAAAATGATTGAAATGATGTTCTGTTTTTTAGTCCCGGCTGCCAGTTTCCGACTTCTGACGGTTTCCGAATCATTTTTAGACTAATGTGGCACTTAAAACTTTAAAAAATCTTAAACTTTTTAAAAATTTTATATCCGCAATCGTCGCATCCGCACGTGCGTATCCGCAATTGTCGTACCGCCAGAATTTGCAATTAAAATATTTTTAAATTTATTTACAAAAAAGAGAAAAATATTTAAAACAAATGAAAGTGGAAATTTAAAAAATATTTTTAATATTTATTTAAATTCAATTTTTGTATATTATTTTGTTGTTTTTTGTAGAAAACCACAGAATTTTCTATAAATTAAAAAAAAATAATTTAAAAAATAAAAATGAATAAATTTATTTACTTGGATGACCACCATAGGGGACAACAGCGGTAGTTGATGAATTGAAATTGGAGGGAGAAATAAATGGAAATTGTTTAAGAAATGCTCGGCTATATTCAGTACTTTAATTTAAAAAAGAATTTAGTTAAGAATTAGTAGAATATTGTTAAGTATATTTTTTTTAAAAAAGATAAATCTGTTTTTAAATCCAAAAAATTGTTAAACATTTTTATTTTTTGAATAATTTTAAAGGTGCTAATAATTAATATTTTTAGAGAGAGAATCTGTAGTTGAGGGGTTAGACATTTTTTTAATATTTAAATAGATACCTTATTTTAAAATTTTTACCTAAAAATATATAAAGAAACAGGAGACAAACTCATAGCAATATAAGGCATAATTGTTGTTATATTAATTATATACCAAGAATTTAAAGTGTGGAGATTGGCTGCCCCAATAATTAAACGAATTGAATAATTAGATATCCACCCACAAATTTCCATTAATAAAATAACAGAAAGGGATTTAAATACATTTACTAAGAGAAGAAAATTAAATTTTATTTAAAATTAATACTTCTTTTTCTTCTTAAACTTACATTGTGTTTTCTTCATTGAATCTTTAAACATTAAAATAATCCAAACAGAAATATAACAAAAAACCTAAAGTAATTAAATTTTCTAAAACAAAAAAAAATCTTACAGAAGATAAATTAACAGAGAGTAACATAATTACTACCCAAGTAGCATCTTTTTGCATTGGATCTCTAATAAATTTTTTATTCAAAAACATTTAAAAAATAAATTATTTACATTACAGTGCACATAACTGGTCTAAAATTTAAAAAATTGTTAAAATAATTAAATATATACAAACATTTCTGGATTTGATAAAGAAATATTAATTCCACATATAGGCACAATTAAAGCATATAAACAACAAAAAGTAATTATTATATTTAAATAATTCTTTTTATCATGAACCATATACCTTTAATTTTAATTAATTAATTAAATTATTTAATTAATTACCATATTGGAAAAGCAACACTTAAAAGGCGGTCAACACCAATTGAAAATGCTATTCCATTAGTAAAAATTGTACAAAATAGAGGAATTGCCTTAAAATTTTGTTTAAAATAATTATTTACGATAAAAAAATAGAAGTTCGGTCGAATGCCGAAATAAATAGTTAGAAAATATTTATCCTTGATAATCATAATTTTGATTAAAATCTCGCTCGCTCAAATAATTAAATTTGCTTAAAACCACTCCCAAGTTTTCCTGAATTATAAGATTATTTTATAGGTTTTGGTTTTAAACCAATCAGAAGTCTGCGGATTTGTTTTTATCACGGGAACTAGCTTATAGATAACTTAATTTGGAGATTATGTACATAAAGGTTTGAAAGCCAATCACTAACAAATTAAAATATATATTTACCTGTATAATTCCACAATATCCAAGAGGAATAAAATTTGTTCCACTTACTACAACGGCTAAAGTAACGAAACTGCTACTTTGTTGGCTACAAATAGAGAAAGCATTTAAAGCTATTTGTAAATTACAAGCTCCTCGTAAATTTCTTTAAAAATTAAAAAAGAGAATATCTTCAAAAATTACTTTGTTTTCCAAGTAATGTAAACAAGATCTCCATTTAAAATAATACCTAATAGACAAACAAAAGCTTTACAAAAAATAAGCAAAACTAAAGGGACACAAAAACCTGCATCTTTAAATGCAGCATAAGCCTTAAATTAAATTTTAATTATTTTGCGAATATATTTGAATATTCCAGAAACTTTTTCGATTTTTAAAAATTTTCTGGAAAATAAAAATTACATTTATTCCAAAAATAATCTATTATTTTGGTATTTCCCGAAAAAATTTTTTATTTTACTTACCGGATCTGTTGTTATATTTGACATTATAGAATGCAACAAATTTTCTAATAATTAATGGTTGATTTTAATTATTTTTTCTCACTTTTCAATAATAATAACTTTAAAATAAACCTATAAATATAACTTTCTCTAATAAAAAAATAATTTTTAAATTAAAAAAATTGTGTGAAAATTTAAAAAACGGAAATCATGTGGGGGGGGGGGGGTTGTTTAAATGGGAATAATTAAATGTAAAAAATCCCTTCTATAAAAAACAATTTTAATTTTTAATTTTTTTAAATGTCTTTAAAAAACGGAAAAGGCTAGTAACTTTTATATATTTAGATAAATAATGACGATAATTTTAAACTTAACGAGGAAATAATTTTTAGTGTTCAAATATTTGTATATATTAATGAATAAAGAAGACAAAAAAATTAAATTTTGTATTTTTAAGTTTACTAGAAAAATATTAAATTTAAAAAAAGTTAAAAATAATTTTTTAAAATTAATTTCTTTGTTTAAGAAGCTTGGAAATTTTTAGGAACTTTTTTGTTACAACTTTTTATAATAAATTGGAGAAAACAATGGGAATTATGTGAATATCTATTTTAATTCACATAAAATTGGAGAAAAAATTGTAGTTACATATGAGAATATCTATTTATTAATTTGGAATTAAATATAATTTCGAATTTTAGCAGATTCAAAGAAATTTACAGACCAAGCTTAATCTTTATAAAATTTAAACTTAAATCTTCCAACAGAAATACTCACATATTTTCTCTTTAATTGTGTAACTTTCTATTTAAATCTGGAAATAAATCCATTTAGAAGCAATTCCTTATAATTAATTACAAAATATATTTTATATTAAAACGATATTTTGGTAATAAATTTAATAAAATCAAGTGCCTAGTTTAAGAAAAAATCAACAAAAGCTTTTTAATAATTAAAAAATTAATTAAAAAATATTTTACACTAATTATAAAGTACATATACACGCTATATTTAATTTAAATTTAATGAGGAATTAATTTTGAATTTTCTATTAATTTTAAAAAATTAAACACAATTTCACGCAATCATTTTTTAATGTTTGTTGCTAAATGGCAACGGTAAATAAAATTCTCTAAAATTTTTTTGTTAGTTTATAATTTTTTAATTAAAATTTATTTGGAAATAATAAAGTCTCAAAAATAAATTTATAAATATTATTTTCCTTTTATTTTAATTTTAATTAAAAAACAAATTTGGCAGTAATAAAAGAAAGGACTTTTTTTATTAATTTTAGATTTGTTATAAACCAAAAAAATATCCTTCTACATCATTTTTTTCTAGGGAACATAAGGTTGTCGTTCTATAACGGGTTTCAAAGTGTAACTGAAAATTGGGAATTATTTAAAGTTTAGAAAATTTATTTTTATTTAACAAAAAATATATTTAAAGATTTTGGTCTATATATTTAAATTTTTTTATTTATATTTAAAGACTAACTTTATTGGATAAGGATTAGCAACAGTTTGCCAAGCCTCTGTTTCTTCAAATTGCCAATAACCTTGTTTAATTTCCGGTGGAGGCTCTTTACCCTCAATTTCTCCAAAATCTAATTCCTCTTCTTTTCTTGGTGGACCACCTCTGGAAATTTATTTTTAAAAGAAATATTTTATAAATAATTGCTTGATTGATATATTCTCGAGGAAAAACTTAAAAATTAATTTTAATTATTTTTTACCTTTTCTGTCGTCTCGTTGTTGTAACTGTTGTTTTTGTTTGTTCATCAAAAGGAACTCCTCCCCCTTCTCTATCAAGTAAATGGGCTGCCCATCCACAATGTAAAATTAAAAGTCCGGCAATAATTAAAATTATAGCAAAAGGAAGAAGAGCTCCGGCACTTTATTTTTATTTAAATTAATTTAAAAAATATTAAAAAAATATAAACATATAAGAACATTCAACAGCAATACAAGTTAATAAAAGCCCCAATAAAAGTAATATTCCAATCAAAAATAACAAAAATCCAATTATAACAACAAATTTTCTTTAAAATAAATTTAATTAATTAAATATGTACTATTTAATTCTTTAAAATAACCTAGCCGGCCAAACCCCCATATATACAGGAAGGCAAATGCCACAAAATATTGGGGGAGATCTTTTGTAATACCAAGGCACATATTTTGCCATTTTTGTTTATTATTCTGGAAATAATTATTAATTAAATATCTGAAAAATAATCCGGTTTTAATTAAAATAATTATTAATTCTTTATTTTCCCGAGAATTATTATTTAATTGTATTGTAAAGAAAATACACTGGAGTAAACGGATCGTATCGGAGGAAAATATGTTTTTTTTAAAACTTAAAAAAAGCCGAATCTTTTTTTCAAAAACAGAAAAAGACAGAGTCCGGGTCGGGTGTAAAAACCATAGTTTTTGGGGGTTTAACTCAAAATCCCCGGCCCGGATCAGTTTAAAAATCACCCGGATAAAGGGATCGGCAATTCGAAAAGTTCTAATTCTAGCTTTTTATGATTTTGAAAAATTATACAAAAAATTTGAACAAAAATAAAAATTATTTTTTAACTTTTAAATTTATTTATTTTGATATATGTACATATAAATGAGTAAAAAAGAATTTTATTTTTATTTTATTTTGTCTTTATACTATCAGAAGGAATGAGAATGTTTTGAAGAATAAAGTAATTGATTGATCATTTTCTCGAAAGAAACAGCCGCATTCTTTTTAAAAATTGTTTCTATCATTTTATATTTATCCACACAAAAACAGCCATGAAAACGAGAAAAAGCTCTAGATTATTTAAGTTTATGCTCTCCAAAAGAAAATGAGAGGAGAAAAATTGTTTTTATTTGTAGAGAACACAGAATGGAGGATTTGGACAAAAATAAAAATTATTTGTTGAAAATATACTAATTTTATATTTTAAATTATTAGGGTGTAACATAAATAATTAGCCCCCCTTGAGCGAAGTTAAATAAATATTTATTAAAATTAAACTAAATGTTTTCAGACTTCGAATTATATTTTTCTATGTTCCTAAGAGAGTTGCCTATTTTCTGGCAAAAAATCAGAATCCTAGGATTAAGTTGGCATTAGTTAGAGGTGAAATACTAAAACTTGTATTTTTGAAACGAGGCAAATTCTTTTTGATTTTTCTTTTCAAAATTGATGAGTAAGAATGAAAATTTAAATAGATTCTGATAGAGCAGAATCTGATGAATACAATGATATAAGAAATTCCCCTGGAAAACATCTGGCTGATTTTTTAGAGGGTCGTATTTGTGAAATAGGGGCTAACATTATGCTGCTTTAGGATAACCCTCGCGCGAAAATGCCCAGCGAGGCCAGGAGACCAGATTTTTTGATGGACTCGATCTATTTAGGAACATTACTATTTGGGGGTAATAGTTCAGCCAGTTTCATCTAATTTCCAATGATTACACCTCCGCAACACCATCAAATACATAACAGATCACGCTGTTGGACCATTCTGGATTAGAGGTCAAAATTGATGGTTAGTTGGGATGAGCCGTTCCTTTTTGTTTACAGAATTCATGAAGGCAACCCACACTTCCTCATAGGTTAAAATTTGTTTCAAATAAGGAGCTTCATTGTGGCATTTAAGGGGTTGATTTGCAAAAGTGACTTAGTGATTTTTTTGATTTTGCGGCAATTCATGGGGTATCAATCGACTCTTCATAACTTGATACCCGCTTCAAGTAAAATTATGTTAATTTTTGTAAGTGAGCAGGTGAGTGCCTGCCCCAATATACACATTTTATTTTTTGGATTCGCTTTGAATCAGCGGAGAACGGCATTCTTATCTACCGTTGGTTGGCATCCAAGACGTTCTTTGCCTTTCTGCTCCTCTCTACCTTTCTTTTATTTGGAAAGCCAAATTTTTTCCGTGGAATACGAGATAACATCCCCTTACTTCACTTTGCATATTTTGCGCCATGATTCCTTTTCCAAATGTCCAAGTTCAATCTCATATTTGAACTGGACGCTAATTTCATAATTTTGCCTTAAACTTTAAAAATTCATAAAAAATTTTTAAATAAAGAAAAAATTTCAAATCTTTCAGAAAAAGAAGAAGGCATTATTGTGAATATATGACAAAAAATTAAACAGATTGGAGATCTGAACATTGAGATATACATTTTCAAACTTTAATGATTTAAGGGGGGCTAATTATTTATGTTACACCCTAATATCTAATAGAAGGACATTGAAATTTATATCGGAAATATAGGCGAGGAATTAATAATTTTATTTTTTAATAAAAATTAATAATTTAAAACCGAATGTTCAAGCTA